TGAATTTGCGAGGGACCACAATTTCAACTAAATACACACACCATAAGTTTAAACTTCATCTTTTTATGAATTTTAAATTAAGTTTCAATATATTTTTTATTTAAATAATTTTATATGAATTCTATTAGATAATTTAAATTCACTTATTATTTAAAGATGATTTCATCCTTAAACTCATTGCCACAAGAGGGAGAGGAACAGGGATAGAGAAATTTGAAAATTAAATTTGTTAAGAAACAAAAAGTCAATAATTGAAAATTAAAGTGAATTTTTGTATAATTTATAAGAATTATGAAAGTACCTATTGATTATGTTACAGTCAATAAAATCCTTTATAATTTTTTAATTAATAATCAATTACTAGAAACTCGTAAATCACCAATACATGGAGGAAGGAAAAGGAGAAAGACCACACATTTTTACATTCTATACGATAAAGTCTATTTAATTAAGTATGTGAATGAATTGGCAGAGGATTGTTTTAATTTAATTTGTAATCTTAAATTCGAATTTTAAGTATATAATTATATTAAAAAATTGATAGGAAAAATTTTGCAGTCCTTGATTATCATTTGTTTGATGTGATTTTTTAAGATTCTTGTAAATTAAAAAAAAAGAATAATTATATTTACAAACTCAAAGTTAGAACATATTATTTAATCATGTAATAATTGATAACATAATATGTATTATCAATAGTACATAGTTATAAACTTGGAGTTTGTAAATATAATTTATTTTTAAAAAAATAAAATTTATTTTTTTGATTTTTTAATATAAAAAGGGTGATATTTCAGTTGTAGTTGAAAACTGGTTTACAAAATTTCACACTCTTCGAAATTTCATTTCTGCTGCAGATTTGATGCTTTCGAAGGCAATCAAACACCGACATCCAAAGTTTTTACCAAAGTCGGCAACGTGTGCGTCTTCTTCAAAGTTTGACACTGTACCGTCTAAGAATAAGTGGAAATAACGTTGCACTTTTAGATTAATATTTTTTCATCTAAGTATAAAATATTCATATTGCTAAAAAAGTTTTTGGCTCTCTCTCGCGAATTACTTCTGCGAAGTTGCCTGGAAATATTCTTGTCTGGCTTAAATTTAATTATTAAATAAAACAAACATTCCCACGTGTTTTTTTAACTCGTGATCTGGTTCTGCATTACTTACATAAAACAAATCATAAACAGTAAAACGAGATCCTAGACTTGTTCATGCACTAAAAAAAAATACTTTTTTTTTTGGTGAGTGAAAAAATGGCTTTTTGACCCTTATGCCCCTTAATTAATAATTAATTACCAAATTGCCCTTCATTCAAAACTATTTCGAAAATTTACCCTCCCCAACAAACATAACACCAATCTGCCCCTGTTTGACCGTTGACCACGAAGCCTACCCGGGTACACCATTACCTACCCGGGTAAATTTTGAAACTTTTTATCTACCCGAGTATGTAGGGGTGTACCCGGGTAGAGTTCTTGAATCTGGGAAAATGTTTGAATTATTTACCCGGGTAAGGAGCAGTGTACCCGGGTAAATCGCGTCCAGAAACCCCAATATGTATGGGTTTCGGCCATTGTTGCGAGGTATAAGGTTTTTTAAACCCCAAATCTTTCTCTCTTACCCTCTCTAATCCGAAACATCACACATATTTCATCTCATCATTTCAGAAAGCTGAATCTTGGTGGGACATTGAGATTACATCTCCACACTCCCATTTTGTGCTAAAAAATCCGAACCAACCTCCAAACCTAAAACCTAGATCTAATTTTTGTGTGAAAGATGAGTTCAAGTCCAAACATGGTTCCTATAGTTATTTACTACAATGGGAGGCATTTTGAAGGTCCGAACGGTGTCCGATTTGAAGGAAAAACAAAAACGATGAAAATCAAAGTGGGCACTACATGCAATGAACTGAAGGAGAGAATTCTTCAAAAAATGGGCACTACAGGCATTTTTTTCCAGATATGTTAAAGGAAGATCCATCCACAAGACCAGCTCTGATACAGGAGAGGATACAGGGAACATATGGATACAACATAACGTACAGGAAGGCCTGGAAGGCAAAAATGAAGGCCATCGTTAAGTTGTTTGGTGACTGGGAGAAATCGTACGCATTCTTGCCAAATTGGCTGAAGTATATGACGGAGGTGAATGTGGGTTCTGTGTTCAAACTTGATACAAATCAATGTTTTGATGAACGTCAGGTTTATACAGACAGGGCCGTATTTCAAAGGGTTTTTTGGACATTTCACCAATGCATTGAAGCATTCAAACACTGCAAGCCTATAATTCAAATTGACGGCACTCATCTGTATGGGAAGTACAGAGGTACTCTATTGATTGCAACATCTCAGGATGGAGATGGATTTCTGCTCCCTATTGCCTTTGCTGTTGTTCCTCCAGGTGAGTAAATAATTTTGCTTTGGGGTATGTGAAAGCATGTGACCCTTCTTTGCCACTTCATACTGTAAATAATTTCTGAGCTCATCCCTATTGACTTTGTTGTTGTTCCTCCAGGTGAGAGGTTGGATGATTGGTCCTGGTTTCTTAGCCTTTTACGTTTTCATGTCACACATAGGCATGGTATTTGTCTAATATCCGATCATCATCGAAGCATCATAAGGGCGGTGAAAGACCACGGAGGGTGGCAGCCTCCATATGCTTATCATGTATTTTGTCTACGTCACATCGGAAGCAACTTCAATACCCGTTTTAGGAATGTGGAATTGAAGAAAACGTTGATGAAATTAGGTAATGTACGGTATAATTACTCACATTTTCAACCATTTGAAGAAAACGTTGATGAAATTCACTAACCAATGCATATGTCATGGTTTTTTGCAGGGTACACATGTTCAAAGATAAATTTCGACATTAGGTACAAGGAATTTATCGAGAACAATCCTGAAGTTGCTTCATGGTTGGATGCGATTCCGAAAGAGCAATGGTGCAGGTCGTATGATGAGACAGGACGTAGGTATGCATATGGAAATGCCTCCAGTTCACCTGCTGACTGTGAAGGAGGGCCCACAAGATGACAAAGTCTCCTTCCAGCACCTTTGAGTGATTATGCGGGCGCTGGAAAATAATATGTGTCACCACATAATGAAGAATGCGAGCAGAAACTGACAAGTTGCTAACAGGATAATGAGCAAAATGACCGGGCTCAGCGTCTGCCCTCCTAGTCTCTGTAACAATGGTCTCCCGGTTATAATCACCAAATATATGATGGCTGTCTCCATCATATAGTGCTGCTCCTGTGACACCATCAAAATCGAACCCCAGTAGCTCCGTCCAGATAGGAGCAGTCATGATGATATCAATCCCGCAGACACGGGAAGTCAGCTCGTCTTGCGAGTAGCCAAGGTTCTGGTAGAAGGCTCTTACCATAACCTCCGAGTATGGGCACCGCATCTCCGCCAGGTGAAGTAAATGTGTCTGCTCAAGAAGCGGCACAATGTCAAAACGCTCTAGGTTGAAGAATGCCGAATCCAGTGATTTCGGTTCGCAGATCTTCCGGGTCATGAAAAACTTCACGAACTTCTCGTGTGAAGGTATGTCATCCTCAAACAAATATCCGAACGTCAAGTCCGGAGCCTGACTCGAAGCAGCCTGGGGCTGAGAGGATGACGACCCATCGTGACGACTCTTGGTTCTTCTCTCGGAATGGGTCACTGGTAGCTTTGAAACGCGTCGAGAGGTCATTGTGTCACACTATTAAACTGAAAAAATAACCAAAATCAGAAATTAGATACATGTTAGGGTTAGGGTTAGGGTTAGATTCAGGGTTAGGGTTAGGGTTAGGGTAAGCGTATGACATACAAATTGATAAAATAATTCGGACAGAATCAAATGATATAAACGAAAATACAATGAATCAGAACAGAAATCATAACATAATTGAAAAAATTGAAAAAAAAATGCACCTTTGATCGATTTCAATCGGTAGAAGGCAGAGAGGTTGCAAGGTCCGCGAATGATGATCACAAACAAGACGAATTGGTGCAAGATTATGCCTGAAATCGCTCAAGATGACACTCCTCCAGCAGCTCTACTCGGGTACCCCTTTTGTGGGTTTTCGAAATGGGGCTGCTGGGGTATTTTAAAACCCTACCGTCGATGTTTACCCGGGTACACTGCTCCTTACCCGGGTAAATAATTCAAACATTTTCCCAGATTCAAGAACTCTACCCGGGTACACCCCTACATACTCGGGTAGATAAAAAGTTTCAAAATTTACCCGGGTAGGTAATGGTGTACCCGGGTAGGCTTCGTGGTCAACGGTCAAACAGGGACAGATTGGTGTTATGTTTGTTGGGGAGGGTAAATTTTCGAAATAGTTTTGAATGAAGGGCAATTTGGTAATTAATTATTAATTAAGGGGCATAAGGGTCAAAAAGCCGTGAAAAAATACTTCTTTTTAATTACTCATTACCATATTTTTTTTTATGTTACTTTACCTTATAAAAAATAGTTTCAACTTTCATGGGTGGACCCGCAGTCTCTTATCAAATACTAATCTCAATTTTAAATTTAAATAGTTTTAATTATGATTTTTTATTATTAAAATATTAAACTTGAAGTAAATTAGATCAAATTTTCTTAAAAAAAAAAGGGTTTGCGTTTGTCATTTAACATGACACAACAAACTTTTTTACACATACAACATTTTGTGAAGCTCACACTTTTTGAAGAAAAAAAAGAAAAGAAAAGAAAATTACAGCACACACACTTTTATATAACCCTTAAAAAAAAAATGATGGAACACAAGTAGAATTATAAACAGCAGAAGTTGGGTGCTGTTTGCAATTTTGTTGGGGACAAGTGGACAACAAAAAAGGTCCTCGTTATAATGAACACTAGTGTGATATTTTTTATATTGAGACATGACACGACTTTTAATTTCAACATTTTTGCTACTTTTCTCTGAATCGTCAACTTACACACAGACATCCCATTTTCCATTTTCCCGAATATGCATTTCTTGCTCTGCCCTCTTTCCTTTTTGGTTCACTCCTTTCCCTCACTGCAATGAGTAGTGGTAGTAAGAAGAGGTTCATTCCTATTAGTCTGGAAGAGGCTGCAATGGACATGTTAAACCATCTCTTGAAGGTGAAGGAGAAGGCCACGGTTTCATTCTTCGTTCCTCTCATTTTGATAGCTTGGGCTATTCACAAATGGCTCTTCTCTTTCTCCAATTGGCTTCCTCTTGCACTTGCTCTATGGGCATCTATTCAAGTATGCAATCCTTCTCTCTCTTCCTTCATCCTTTTCATTCATTGTTTTGTATTTTTTGTCTCCATATCCTGGTTTCTAATGCTACAAACAAAAGCTTTAATTGATCTCTTGCAAAGAAAAGCATTGATAATTTAGAATTATATCATGTCAATAAGAAGGATAGAAGTTAGCAGCAGTTAACATTACACTGCTGTATAAGCATAACCATCTATTGTGTATTGGGGCTTTGTTGAAGTTGAAATGTAATGGAAGCAATTAGTCCTGGTTCTGTGGTTATCTTGAGAAAAAAATATTCCTGGGTACACAAACAACCCATGTTCACCTTTGCTGTGTTGGAATTGAATAAATAAAAGTTTCAAATTGTGTGAGGAAATCTTCCTCTTTTATCATCTATGAGTTAATGAGTTTTGAGTCTTTTGACAGTATGCGATGTAATCAGGTAATGTGAAATACTGCTCTTTTATTTGCAGTATGGGAGTTATCAGCGCAAAATACTTGAGGAGGACTTGTATAAGAAATGGAATCGGATCATACTCAACACCTCGGTACCTTTTTCATTCCTTTTCACCCTTTTGCATTTTCGATGAGCTTTATGAAGCTGACTTCAACTTCTGTACATACAGCCCGTCACACCTTTGGAACACAGTGAGTGGTTGAATCTGCTGTTGACACAAATCTGGTCCAGCTATTTTAACCCAAAGCTCTCAAAAAGGTTATCAGCCATAGTCGAGGTAAAATTCCAGTCTCTTCCCCATTACTCTATTGATGTATTTTTATATCTTAATTCAACATTTAAATTTTTATATCTTAATCCAACATTTATGATTGTTCTTCATATATTTTCTTCCATCCATTATTTTTATTTTGTGCAATATGAGTAATTTGCTTTAATTTTCATATGATCTACAATTCTGTATATAGAAGTCTATTGTCTTGGAGTTTTGCACTGTAAGTCTGAAATTAACTTACTTTGTCTTTCTTTTGTGTCTCTAGAAACGTTTAAAGCTCCGAAGACCAAGATTTATAGTAAGTAACAATCATTTTCATCTATGGAAGAGTCTCACATTTGTTTGTCAAAACAGTTTGAACATCTAATATATGCTGAAAATTTGGAAAATGTGTAATGAACTAAAATAATCCTTTCTGCAGGAAAGAGTTGAGGTGCAGGAGTTTTCACTTGGATCATGCCCTCCAAGTTTAGGTCTTCAAGGGATGCGGTGGTCAACTTCTGGTGGTCAGGTTGTAGTTTGCTTCACATTTCAGATATCATTTCTATACATCTTTTTAGATATTTAATTAAACAGATTCCTGTCCATATCTCTATTTTTTCTGTTCATGTGAATTTACTCCTTGCATCCTCACCACTAAAATCACTTCAATCTTTGTTACCTTTGCTACTTTTGCTGCCTTCTCCTCTACTATTGCAATGCTTCTGTCGTGTCATCTCTATTTTGCCAAAAACAAGGGCAAACGGCATTTTCTCATATCATTTGGAAAACAATGCTTAATTATACTTACAAGTTAAAAATTACATTATCATTATTCTGGGACTCTGAATCTAGATTTCATGTTTATCTTTGAACCTCCTTTATGAGACGTCAGACTTTATGAGAAGTTGATACTATAAATCTTTGATGCAGCTGACCAAAATGCCACCTAAGTGATTATATTTGGAATTCCATTTCTATTACCGTTGCTTTGCAAAGTTGTGCTTATCCTTCTCCTCTTTCTTTGTTTATTTAGGGTCTATGATTCATGCTTTCTCCTAATAGTGCTGATATATTTCCACATATCTAAGATTTTAATACAGCATTTTGTTGCTATTTGACAGCGAGTCCTTAAAATGGCTTTTGATTGGGACACGAGTGAAATGAGCATTTTAATGCTTGCTAAGCTTGCAGCTGGTCTTGGAACTGCCCGAATTGTGATTAATAGTCTTCATATCAAGGGTGATGTATGTAAAATATCATCCTTTGCATCAACTGGTTTGGTCATTTTTTTGTTTTCATAATCTAATCATTCACATTTTTTTGCAGCTTCTCGTGACACCAATTCTAGATGGAAAAGCTCTTCTGTATTCATTTTTATCGACACCTGAGGTTAGAATAGGTGTTGCCTTTGGAAGCGGTGGAAGCCAATCGGCCACTGAGTTGCCTGGTGTTTCTCCTTGGCTGGTGTGTTTCAAAGAATCCAATTTGTCAATTTTTTTTATAAAAAACTGATGTCTTTCATTTCTGGAGCAATTTGAAATAAGTGAATTAGGAACTGTTAGTCTAAAAAAATCATATCCATTTCATATTTTGCCTCATATGCTCATTGTATTGGAACATTATATGAGAACTTAAGCCTCTTGAGTTAACTTGCTCAAATTTTCCCCATTGGAGTGTGATGTTTCATGCTGATTGTTGATTTACCTTTTATACAGGTTAAACTTTTTACTGACACCTTGGTTAAAACCATGGTTGAACCTCGGCGCCGTTGTTTCTCTTTGCCTGCAGTTAATTTAAGGAAAAATGCTGTCGCAGGCATTATATATGTTTCAGTAATTTCAGCAAACAAACTTTCTAGGAGTTGCTTCAAGGGGAGTCCGTCTAGGACGCAACATAATGGCACAAACAATGGGTGTTTAGAAGACAAGTTGGATGATAAGGACCTACAAACATTTGTAGAGGTAGAAGTAGAGGAACTGACAAGGAGGACAGGTATGAGCCTTGGTTCAACTCCAAGATGGGATGCGACATTTAATATGGTTTTACATGATAGTACAGGAATTGTTCGCTTCAATCTTTATGCGTGCCCCACTAGCGGCGTGAAGTGTGACTTCCTAGCAAGTTGTGAAATTAAGGTACTGTCATCAATGTTCACCTTTTTTAGCAAGCAACAGGATTACTAATTACAGGGAACAAGGGGATATTTTTTTTAATCTCTCAGTGGTAACTGCTTATCAACTGTTATTCTAAGCTAACTTAATCTCTCTGTCCTTGAGAAGATGAGGCATGTTGAAGATGATTCAACAATAATGTGGGCAATAGGGCCTGACTCTGGTGTCATAGCAAAGCATGCAATGGTTTGTGGAGATGAAGTTGAAATGATTGTCCCATTTGAGGGGGCCAACTCAGGAGAGGTACAATATTCATGAACATGTAATAATTAGTTTCTGCCCTTCTGTCAAACTTTCTTTGCTTTATGATAGATATAATTTGGTTATCTTACATTAGCAGTGTTTGATTTTCAACAAAGCTAACAAGGGCGATCTTCTTTCCTAATTAAAACATGCATGCTGTTTAACTACTAAGAAATAATAATCTGATTGCATGAATTAAGTATTCTGTATTTTTATTTAATATATGCCATACATAAGCAAAATGATTATCCCTCCTCTCCCCAATCATATTGGTTGATTTGTCAATCATTTGGGGTTGCAGTGTGCATAATGAACAGGGCGACCCCTATCATGTCATTCAACTTTTATTTAGAAGAATGAGAGTACAAAGAAATTCTTGACCACTTAGTAATAGAGACTTCAATATTATGTCAAAGACCAATTTTGTAAAAGTTAAGTTATTTGATGAAAGCTCGTGAATGATTTTTTATATCTAACAACTATCTAATGTTTTAATCATTTAACAAATTAAAATGAAGGGGTAGAGTTTCATATTGATAGTCTTTCTAGAGTAATACTTGTAACTTCGTTAGTATTTTGTTATTCTATGTTGATTGAGTCTATTGCATCAAATTGTTCGTATTTGTGATTTCTAAATCAAACATCCTTTTAGTGTACCTGATACTTACATGGTGTAATTTTCTATTATTTTTTCTGAGTGATTTTTTCATGATAGAGCTACTATCAAAATGTCCTTAAGGTAACATTTTTGCACTTAAAATGAAAGTTGTTTTACCATTTCTAAATGAAGATTGAATTGTTACGAAATGAAATATTTTATTCGTATTTGCTCATTTAATTTATTTTTTAGTTAAAGGCGAGAATTGTAGTAAAAGAGTGGCAATTTTCTGATGGTTCGCATAGCTTGAACAATCTCCATTCTAGCTCTCAACAATCACTTAATGGATCGTCACTTTTGTCAAGAACTGGAAGGAAACTTAAGATAACTGTTGTGGAAGCAAAGGATCTTGCTGCAAAAGACAAATTTGGAAAATTTGAGCCATACATTAAATTGCAGTATGGAAAGGTGAGTAACACTGGTGGTCTATTGAACTGTGAATGCTTTGTCATCAATTGATGAACCGAGGTCTCTGCCACATTTATTAAAAGTTAATCGATGCAATGTAAGTTCATAATAACACTATCTGATTTTGTTGGTGATAATGTTTTCAGGTTGTCAAGAGAACAAAGATTGCTCCTGCTCCTACTCCTCCAAATCCTGCGTGGAATGATTCATTTGAATTTGATGAGAATGGTGGTGATGAATACCTAAGTGTAAAATGCTTTAGTGAAGAAATTTTCGGAGATGAAAACATTGGTAGTGCACATGTAAATTTGGAAGGACTGGTGGACGGTTCAATCAAGGATGTATGGATCCCTCTTGAAGGAGTGAGTTCTGGTGAATTAAGACTTATAATAGAAGTAGTTAGGGTGGACGACCTAGAAGGATCAAAGGTATGTTTCCACAACACGAAATTAATGATTCTTTAATAATCTAGTTACAAATTATAATAAAACAGATGCACAAAGCTAATAATTGGTCTATTATCATTTCATTTATTTAATTTACCCATGCTGAATTTTCATCTCTGGCTTATTCATTCTAACATGCACTACTACTTCGAAATGGACAGGGTTCAGCTTTGGGCTCGGGCAATGGTTGGATAGAACTTGTTCTGATTGAAGCAAGGGATCTTGTTGCTGCCGATCTTCGAGGGACAAGTGATCCTTTTGTGAGGGTAGACTATGGAAACTTGAAGAAAAGGACAAAGGTTAGAATATTTCATCGGTAATTTTTCTTGCATGAATTGAATGTCCTTAGGATTTACAATTTTATTGGCATCACATTATACATACACTTGAAAAAGGGTATTCTGATATATATTAGAATTGTAAATAATGTGTACAAGGGATTCTCTATTTATAGAGAATATGTGACCTACTTTTAACCTAAAGGCCTTGGCCCAATACAACAGAGGGCTTGGCCCAATACAACAATAAACTAAATAATAACTAAATCAATATTATTTACAACACTCCCCCTCAAGTTGAGGAATAGATATTTATCATTCCCAGCTTGCTAGTAAGTTCTTGAAATCTGTCTGAAGGAAGCCCCTTTGTTAATAGATCAGCTAATTGACGCCCAGTGGGAATGTATGGAGTGGTAATCAACCCGCTATCAAGTTTCTCTTTGATGAAATGGCGGTCGACCTCAATATGTTTAGTCCGATCATGTTGAACTGGATTATGAGCTATACAAATAGCGGACTTATTATCACATAGCAGCTTCATAGGTCCCTCACATTTTATTTTGAGATCATCAAGTACAATTTTCAGCCACAGTAACTCACAAATGCCTTGAGCCATAGCTCGAAATTCAGCTTCTGCACTTGATCTGGCAACCACATCTTGTTTCTTACTTCTCCATGTCACCAAGTTACCGCAAAGAAACATGCAATAACCAGTGGTAGAACGACGGTCAGTCATGGATCCAGCATAATCAGCATCTGTGTAGACTTCTAAAGATAGATTGCCATCACGTCGGAATAACAATCCTTTACCAGGAGTACCTTTAAGATACTGAAGAATTCTCTCTACAGCCTGCATGTGTTTTTCCTTTGGATTGTGCATAAACTGACTGACAACACTAACAGCATAAGCTAGGTCTGGTCTAGTATGGGCCAGATATATCAATTTCCCAACTAGCCGTTGATATTGTCCTTTATCAACTGGAGGACTCTCTTCTTCATAGCCCATCTTGTGATTCTGCTCAATAGGAGTATTAGAGGGTTTACACCCGAGCTTTCCTGCTTCTTTGAGAAGATCAAGAACATATTTCCTTTGGCTGATAAAAATTCCTTTGCTTGAATGAGCTACTTCTATCCCTAGGAAATATCTCAGTTTCCCAAGGTCTTTGACTTCGAACTCAGAGGCAAGCCGTGTCTGCAGAATCTGTCTCTCCACAAAATCATTACCTGTGATAATAATATCATCAACATATACAAGGAGCACAGTAAGCTTCCCGTTTTGGGAGTGCTTGAAGAAAAGAGTGTGATCTCCTTGACTCTGTCTATATCCTAAGGTCATCATAACCTTAGTAAACCTCCCAAACCAAGCACGAGGTGACTGCTTCAATCCATACAAGGCCTTTTTTAATCGACAAACTTTATTTTCCCCCTTCACAGAATCAAAACCAGGCGGGATTTCCATGTAGACTTCTTCTTCTAACTCACCATTGAGGAAAGCATTTTTCACATCAAATTGATTTATATCCCAATTGTAATGGGCAGCAAGGGACAACAAGATTCTCACTGTATTCATTTTTGCAACTGGAGCAAAGGTTTCTTCATAATCAATGCCATAGGTTTGAGTGTAACCTTTGGTGACTAATCGAGCCTTGTATCTCTCAAGAGTGCCATCAGAATTATATTTTAGGGTATAAACCCATCTGCACCCTACTGCTTTCTTTCCGTTGGGTCTATCAATAACCTCCCATGTTTTATTTTTCTCCAATGCATTCATCTCCTCTTGCATGGCTTGAGCCCAATTCCCATCTCTCAAAGCTTCATGTACTGATTTTGGGATTGAAGTAGAATCTAGTGCTGAAACAAAGCTTTTGTGCTGCACAGAAAGATTAGCAGAGGAAACAAAATGGGAGATAGGGTATTGAGTACAAGAGGGACAGGAAGAACAAGATTTCTTGGAACAAGATCTTTTTCCTTTTCTTAAAGCAATGGGTAAATCATCAGAAGCAGTAGTAATGGGTAAGTCATCAGAAGTATCATGATCAGAAATATGAGATTCAGGACTTACCAGTGGTTCAGACGATTGAGGTTGCTGTTGAGGCAATGTGGGCTGTTTCCTTCTTTGATATACCAATTCAAGTGTTACAATCTTCCGTATCTCTTGTGTACTTGATGTATCAGTCATAGGAGGATCAGTCACAGACACATTAGGAACAGGAACAAGAGGAAGAGACACTGACACAGGTGAAGGAGTAGACACTGAAGTTTCAAAGAAGGAAGGTGATGAGTCTTCTGGTTAATCATTCTCCCCCTGAAGATGAGGACCTTGGAAAAAGGACTCAGATTCCTGAAATGTAACATCCATAGAAACAAAAAATTTCCGACTTCCAGGGTGATAACACTTGTAGCCCTTCTTATCAGGAGCATATCCAAGGAAGACACATTTAAGAGCCCTAGGATCCAACTTACTGCGATGCTGTTTATGAATATGAACAAAGACAACACATCCAAACACTCGAGGAGGAAGACTTTGCAAAGTTGGAATAGAAGAAAAAAAAGAAGTCATGGAATGAATAGGACTTACATGATCGAGAACCCGAGTGGGTAGACGATTGATCAAGAATGCTGCAGTAAGAATGGCATCTCCCCAATAGCATTTGGGTACATGTGTTTGAAACAATAAGGCACGAGCAACTTCAAGAAGGTGACGATTTTTCCTTTCAGCAACCCCATTTTGTTGAGGGGTGTCTACACATGTAAGTTCATGAATCATACCTTGATTTTGTATAAATTGGGAAAAAGAGTGATTGACATATTCAGTACCATTATCTGTCCTTATTCTTTTGATTTTTTTACAAAATTGAGTCTCAATCATTTTATAAAATTGAAAGAACAGTTTTGGTACCTCAGACTTTTCATGCATTAAGTAAACCCAAGTTACACGAGTGCAATCATCAATAAAAGAAACAAACCGTTTATTTCCAGAAGAATGAGGGACCTTAGAAGGACCCCAAACATCAGAATGAATAAGATCAAAATGTTCAACACTTTTAGTAATACTAGAAGGGAAAGACACACGATGATGCTTAGCAAACTCACAAACATCACAATGATAAGACTCAACAGACTTAGACAAAAACAAAGACGGAAATAAAGACTTGAGTAAACTAAATGGAGGATGTCCCAAACGCTTATGATGAAGCCAAATCAGAGAATCAGCAGTTGACTGGCCATGTGACAGTAAGATGTGATCCTTAACATGAGTTGCAGGAGATTGTGACACCAGATAATACAGCCAACCTTGCTCTTTAGCACCCCCAATCGTCTTCCCTGTGGCGAGATCCTGAAAAACACAGTGAGTAGGAAAGAAGGTTACAGTGCAATTTAAATCTTTTGTAATTTTATGAATAGAAAGAAGATTAGTAGAAAGTTTAGGGACATGAAGAGCATCTTTGAGATGTAAGGAAGGCTGTAATTTTATGTTACCGGAACCCGCAACTGATGTATGGGAGCCATCAGCTACGGCTATCGTATGAGTGCCAATGGTAGGGTTATAAGAGACAAAGGGGTCAGCACAACAAGCCATATGATCAGTGGCACCAGAATCAACAACCTAAGAATGTTTAAAATCAATACATGAAGTAAGAAAAGAAGAAATTTTGGAGCTCATACCAGTCATAGCCAAATCACTAGTACCAGATGGCTTACTCAGAGAATCAAGTATGGTTCGAAGTCGTTCCAACTCATCTGGACGAAATGTAGGTTGGGTCTCATTAGGTGTAGGAGCTATATCAGAAGAAGTAAAATGCGCTTGACCACGCATCCTTGCCATCTTTTCTAAGACAGTTTGTTTTCCATGGAGGCGATAGCATAGATCCTTGATATGACCTGTTCTTTTACAATAAGAACACCAGCGATCATCTTTCTTAGGTCTAGAAGATGCTCCATCAGAACATTTTGGAAAGGAACTCCTGTAAGTAGAACCATCTTTTTTTGTTGAAATCATAGCAGACCCATCAGTAGGTTTAGAAGCAGCACCATCTTTTGATGATAACATGACAGATTTATCAGGGTTCATCATAACACCCCGACGATTCTCCTCTCCCCGAACAGTATTGAAAACAGCAGAAAGGGATGGAAAAGTTTCTTTGCCAAGTATCTGAACCCGAATAGGATCATACTCGGAATTCAAACCAGCAAGAAAATCAAAAATACGCTCATTTTCTACCTCCTTGGCTAAAGCAGTAGCATCTGCAGTACATTTCATCTTCAAACTCTGAAATTGATCAAGTTCAGTCCATAACTCCTTCAAGGTGCCATAGTACTCAGTCACGGATAAAGAATCTTGTTTTGTAGTGAATATTTTATTGCGCAATTCATAGCGCGCAGCCATATCCTGTTTCAAGGAATAAGTGGAGCGGACAGTTTCCCAAATCTCCATAGCAGAAGACAAGAACATACAATGACGACCCACTTCAGGAGTCATCGAATTCCACAACCAAGTCATGATAAGAGAATCCTCATTATCCCAAACAGCAAAATCGGGATCCGTGGCAGCAGGAGCAGGGCCATCAAGATGAGCAATCTTATTGCGACTCTTGATGGTAGTACGAATGAACTGAGACCATGACAAATAATTTGATCCGCCAAATCGATAACTCTGATGTAGATTTGGAAGATCATTGTGACCAAGAGGGGTCACCACAGATGAGGTAGAATTTTTTTCAGATAAGTTTAGAGTTGAATCACCGTCGGAAGCGGCCATACTGCAAAACAACTCAAGGAATAGTACCAAGAAGCCAAAAAATCACGAAAAAATTACCAAACGAGGTCCGATCAAAGAGGTGAGCACAGATCCAGAACGAGCTTGGAGAGTCGGTCAAGACTGCACCGGTCCGCAGCCAATAGCAACCGTCACGCGCTGGTGAAGCTGGCGGCGCGTGAGATTCACGCGCAGGGAAAGAAGCGGCGCGTGGAGGCGCGTCTGACGTCCGATCGGGCTGGGATTTTCAGGCGAAGGTCGTCCAAGGATTGCGAACCTATCTGGGGCTGATCGGAGTTGAATGGCCGCCAAAAAGAAGGTCAATCGCGATGAACAGTGTTCTTGGTTAGTGAAAAACGCTTCTGTTTGGAGGTGACGTTGAACGGTTCAGTTTGGGGTCTTGTTATTGAGGAAGATGGGAGAAAAACAAAGAGAAGCAGTGATCTCTCGGTCCAAGAGGTCCCCGGAAAATTTTTCCGGTGGCGGCTGATGGCAGCGAGAGATGGAAAACAAAAAAAAGGGTTTCGTAGGCGCGGAAGCAGAGCCCTCAAGATCGAGAGCTCTGATACCAACTTGAAAAAGGGTATTCTGATATATATTAGAATTGTAAATAATGTGTACAAGGGATTCTCTATTTATAGAGAATATGTGACCTACTTTTAACCTAAAGGCCTTGGCCCAATACAACAAAGGGCTTGGCCCAATACAACAATAAACTAAATAATAACTAAATCAATATTATTTACAACACATACTGATGGTGGTTATGGCACAGTGGATGATTGCTAAGTGCTACAACTAGTTACTATTTTGCCTTTGTTGTTTCTTTTCATTTTTTTTTTCTTTCTTTTGGGGCTGGCATTTGAAATTCAACTGAAATTCGAGTGTTCTATAACTATATGAATTATATGCTCGAAGATGGCTTTTTGACCACTTTGATGAAAAAAATAAAACATAGCCCCAATTTAATTCTTTTGTCAAACTATTTACCCATATAATGCAAGTGAAATGTGCACGGAGAGTGTGCACATTTTAGTCGCGCATTATCCCCATAGTGACTTGTGCAAAAATTCACGCAATACAAGACGTGCATCCTAGCCATGCGCGTTCAAGTTGCGCATGCCCCTTATGTGTGTCGTGCAGAGCGTGACACGTGACAGACATTTTTTGGCACTTTTTGAGTTTGACACAAGTCGCGCATAGGGTGATGTGCGACTTAAACGCACACATTCCCCCTACGCATTTCACTGGCATTAGATAGATATATAGTTTGTCAAAAGAATTAAACTGGTGCTATGTTTCGTTTTTTGCACTACAAGGGTCATGAGCATTGATATGATACCCCTTCCCCGTAAACTATGTGAAGTTGATTATACTTCAGTGATTAATTATAGATGCAAGCATATGTTGTTAGATATTTCTCCGGAATTGGGCCGCCATTAATTGATGATTATGTTTGTGGTAATAATAAGGGCTAACATATATATTCTCTATTTTTTTAAAATATTTTTGAAAGGGGAATCTCTAGGCTTTTCATTCATATTTTATTCCTCTGGTTTCCCTCCCAATTTCATTTTTCCTCTGCATTTGCTTGCTGTTATTATTTTCATCTTGCAAGGCTTAATTACTTACTAGTTGTGGCATTATCTGGTAGGTAATACACAAAACTCTCAACCCTCGTTGGAACCAGACCTTAGAGTTCCCTGACAATGGCAGTCCCCTGGTACTGCGTGTTCAGGACTATAATGCTTTACTACCCACATCAAGTATAGGTGAATGTGCTGTAGAATATCAAAGTTTGCCTCCAAACCAGATGTTTGACAAGTGGATACCTCTCCAAGGGGTAAAAAATGGTGAGATCCACATCCAAATTACAAGAAAAGTTCCAGAGATGAAAGTGAGACATATTCCAGACTCTGAACCTTCGTTAAGTAAACTACACCAAATTCCTAGCGAGGTGAGATTGTTTTGCATGTCCGAAAACACTTCTGTTTTAAAATACAACCTTTGATTACTTTTGCAGCCCTGAGGATGAAGTAATGATTGCCTTAAAAAATGCAATGCATATTTATAACATTTTCATTCGTTATCTCCTCTCTTTCTATATTCAATTTGTAGAAATATCTCTGGGATTAATTTTGAGCTAGACTAAAAGGTGTTATTGGTTGGTCTATATGCCATTTTCTTGAAACACTTCTTTTATGGCTGAATCATTGATGGAATGAATTTCTGTTCATTTCTATTATAAAACAATCCATTCATTCATTTGTTGTATAAATTGTGATATTTTCATTTTCATTTTCATTTTCATTTTCATATTACCCCGTTATTCTAAAGCACTGTTCATTTTATCAGATAAAGGAGATGAGGAAAAAGCTTCGGTCTTTAATAGAGGATGAAAATCTTGAAGGACTGTCAACAACTTTGAGTGAGCTAGAAACTCTACAGGATACACAGGAAGGGTATATAACTCAGTTGGAGACTGAGCAAATGCTTCTCCTCAGCAAAATAAATGATCTGGGCCAGGAAATCATCAATTCTTCTCCTTCCCTCACCAATTATCCTTCTCGAAGTGGAAGTTGACCCTCATCACCTTCATCTACTTAACGTTATTATTAGTTGATATTTCATTTGCCATATAGCTTATGGGAATCACTAGGAACAATTTTTGTACATGTTTATGCAAGTCTTGTGTAGTTGCCCTGCTGTAGATATCTATGGTACATGTTTAAATGAACAATGATTCATCATAATGAGATTATATTATATGATATTGTTTTTATTAAATTCGAAATATAAAACAATGACAAAAGTTTGATTGTTTAATAAAAGGGCTTTGCAACTCTTCTGTTACTGCAAAATATTGGAGTTTGCAGCTGACCCAAAAACTTGGTGGGTCCCACCATTTTAAAAAAATAAAATAAAGATAAAAACAAAGAAAAAATATCAATGAGTCTGTGGCAGTAGAAAATCACTTCTGCATTCACAGCACAAGTGATTTCCCCTTAATAAAATATGGGTTTTGTTTGTACCATGTTGATGGAAACAACAATAATTTTCCTAAAGACTAAGCAAAGGAGAGAGAAAGTGAGATAAGAAAAGTAAAAAAAAAAAAACTTGTAGGTCCCATGATATTATTATATCTGCAGGTAGCTACACTAGTTTTCCTGCAATATTACTTTTACATTTTCCATAAAATATTATGGGGTTTGTATTTGTCATTTAACATGATACAACAAAGTTTCCTACACACACAACATTTTGTGGGGCTCATACTTTTTGAAAAAAAAAGAAAAAGAAAAAATTACGACACGCAAAACAAATCTCTATAATATTATACAATCACTTTTTTTACAATATAACTCTTATAAAATCTAAATATTATATATTATTTGGATAAGTACGTGAATTAACTGACGCAAGATTATTTCAGCTTAACTAATGATTTTGAATTTGAGTTTTAAATACACAACTAAATTAAAAATTTAATAGGAAGAATTTTTAATTAATTAATTGATAAACCGGTAAAGAAATTTTAAAAATAAAATTTATATATTTGATAATTAAGAAAACTAATGAGGGATTTTTGAAGTTTTTTTATAATATAATGGGTTATGTTTATCTCATTTTACTTGAGATAAATAACTTTTTTACACACACACATAAAGATTGGGTTCCACCACTCTTTTTTTTTCTCTTTTTTTATCTGTAGGTTCCACTTGTAATTTTATTTCTACAATATGAGGTAACTATTTTTCTACAACAAAACAAAAATATTTCCCTAATATAATACACATTTATTTATGATAAATTTGTCTGAATTTAGTTACTTAATTTTTGACAAACTAGAATAAATTTAGCATATAAAAACCGGAAAATGCTCAAATATGATTATATTAATTTTTTTTTGGATACATTTATATGAAAATTTGTTCATATAAAAATAGGGAAAAACTAATATTATGTAACATGATATAAAATTTTTTACCTACTCTCACATTGGTTTCCGCACTAGCATTTTTTATTTTTTGTATTTATTATATGTATGAGACCCACATGCATATTTGTTTGAGTAGGAAAAATTGGTTAGGTTATGTTACATGATAGTAACTTTACCCATAAAAATATCATATGTTCATAATGATATTTATCAGAGTGGCGTGTCTGCAACTTGGTCATATTCCATATCCATTCGAAGGAGAAAATGCAAGACGATGGGTTTGATCAGCACTAGTGTTATATTATCATCACTCCCATTCAGTTCACGATCCTCCACTCTCAAATTCTGTTGTTATAATTCCAAATTGAAATTCCAATTTGGCATTGGCATTGGCATTCTCACTCTCAGGTGCTTCTCTTCTCTACGAACCAAACACCAAAACTGCAACCCCAAATCCAACTCTGCCCCTTGGCTCGTCAAATGGCCCTCTTCTATCGAATCACCAAACCCTAAACTCCCCACCCACGACGACGAAGACTTGTTTGACCCTGTTCCTGCTCCCACTCACTATTTCCACGACGATAAAGGGCGCAATGCTATTGAGAGAGTCGTTCTTCGATTGCGCAATTTAGGTTTAGCTTCCGACGATGAGGAACCAACCCGAGATGTTTTTTTACGGCGAGAATGGGTTCGGCCTGATGCAACTTTGGCTCAAGAGGATATGGCTTTGCCATGGGAGAAGGAGGAGAGGGAGGATGAGGTGATTGAAGACAAGGGGTTGAGGAAGAAGAAGAAGAAGAAGAAGGTAAAGGCGCAAACTTTGGCGGAGCTAACACTTGGGGAAGAGGAACTAAGTCGATTGCGAACTTTGGGTATGCAAATTAGGGAGAAAGTTAATATTCCCAAAGCTGGGCTTACGCAGGCTGTGATTGACAAGATTCATCATGAGTGGAGCAAGAATGAGGTTGTGAAGCTCAAATTTCATGAGATTCTTGCTCGGGATATGAAGCTGGCTCATCAGATTTTCGAGGTTTCTTTCTTCCTTTTTTCATTTCCTTTCACTTTATCTGATATCGTGTGAGTAATTATAACTTTCAGGGTATGCTTCTTGTTTTGGTTCATTTATGTCCATGTTTGTACTGTTGATATTTTAACATTTTGTGTTGAAGAGCTTGTGGACTGAAATGTTGTAGCATTGTGCAGCGTCGAACAAGAGGATTGGTTATATGGAAGTCAGGAAGTTTTATGTGGGTGTACCGTAGTGGGAATTATGAAGGGCCAACATACAGCAGTCTAAGGAATGAAAAGAAAGGTGATGATCACCATTTTGTCCCAGATGTCTCTGCTGACAGTAACGCAATGCCCTCATTGCTGGAAAAGAGTGAGCCAGTATTGAGGAATCATGAACATCCTGAGAACATGACAGTGGAGGAAGCAGAGTTTAACAGGCTGCTTGATGGTTTAGGTCCTCGTTTTGGTGAATGGTGGGGCACAGGAATACTTCCTGTTGATGCTGATTTACTTCCCCCTGTGGTTCCTGGTTACAAAACACCTCTTAGGCTTCTTCCTACCGGAATGCGTCCGGGGATGACTGATGATGAGTTGACGAGTATGCGGAAACTTTCCAAATCTCTTCCTTGTCATTTTGCCTTAGGTAAAATTCACCTGCAAAACTATTTTGTTAAATTTAGTTTTCCTTTTACTGGTATAAATCTTGTGCTGACCTTGATAAAGGTAGGAATAGAAATCTTCAAGGTCTGGCATGTGCCATTCTTGAGCTTTGGGAGAAAAGCTTAGTTGCAAAGATTGCTGTCAAGCGTGGTCTCGTGAATACAAACAATGAACTAATGGCTGGGGAGCTGAAGGTTTGTTATCTGTAATTTTCTATTTGGTGCTATTTGCTTGTGCTATTGAGTGTGTAAAGCCCAATGCATCACATTCTGGACAAAGTACTGAATCTTGAATTAAAAATGCAAAATAGGACGCAGAGCTGATAAAATTAAAAGGGTGGATGAGTGAACAAGGTTATTCAAATTGATAGTGCTCTTAATATCTCCAAGGCCTCTCAAGTCTTTGATACAATTATGGTGCATACAACATCTTGTATTTGTTATAACTTATAATTTAAGTGTCCTTTAAAGCTGTTGACCATGCTTTCCTTTAATAATACCCGAGAGTCACCAACCAAAGTTATAATTTCTTTGAGGATTTTATCTTTTTTGAGAAAATTAGTTGGTATTCATTTTCCTTTTAATTTAATCAGCTGGCAAATAATCGAAGATAAGAATAAGGAATTGATATTTGATTTACTCAAAGAACGAGTCTGTTTTCTCCATTTTTGCTCAAAACATCATTCACCAGATGGAGTCAATCCAATTTTGTTATCATACAAATAATATTATATTGAAGATACCGATCTGATTCTCTGCCTTGAATCTACGGAATTTGGGTAAAGCTAAATTTTATTTCCATAGTCACATGCATAATGTTGTTGCTAACTCATGGTATTATAACAAAAGAGGGCAAAAAAAATTAAAAATTGTAATTTAAATAAAAAATACGAAAATACAGTGATTTGCAAAGTATGTACAAAAGTATTTCAACTGGTTGTGCATCAAAACAGGCGCAACTGGTCCCCTAATGCACCTGTTTTCATGCGCGTCTTCCCTATGTGTTGCATATTTTGATGCGCGTCTTCAGCCATTTTCATTCATTTTGGGATACAGATGCCTACTTTCTGACAAGTTCAATAAATTTTACATAATCTCCTATCCATTGAAATAACGAGTCACGATTATTTGTTATTGATGGATAATGAGAAATAGGAATAGGAATTAAAAAACATCATTCATAGAAATAAAATGTGCCAAACGGGCACAACAAGGAAGCGTTTTTTTTTTTTTTTTTTAAGTGATCATACCCCATCTGGGATTTGCCATCGCGTAGATCTCGAAAAGTTACGTGGAATAAAAAAAAAAACTTGATTTGGACACCTGAGCCAAAAATTATGTCCTTCCAAAGTTTTAGGGTATTAGGGCAAAGTTTTAGGGTATTATGTGTGAGTTGCGCACTAATTTGGGTGCAATACATGGGAAGACGCGCACCAAAACAGGCGCAACAGGCATTGAGTTGCTTCTGTTTCTGTGCACTGGTCGCGCACAGAAATATGCACAACTCAGTGCTTGTTGAGCCTATTTTGATGCGCAACCAGTTGCACCCAATCCCGTGTGCAACTGGTTGCAATACTTTCGTATATAGTGGCCAAATCGCTACATTTTCGTATTTTTTTATTTAAAATACAATATTTAATTTATTTTTGCCAAGAAATGAGAGCAGTGCAGTAGTTCTGTTGATTTGAATATCAGAAAAGTCGTTTGCTTTTCTTTCATGGTGCAGAAATTAACAGGAGGTACCTTGCTGCTAAGGAATAAATATTACATTGTAATATATCGTGGGAAGGACTTTGTTCCAACTAGTGTGGCTGCTGTTTTAGTTGAAAGACAGGAATTGACAAAACAGGTGCAAGATATTGAGGAGAAGGTGCGCTGCAGAGCTGTTGATGTAACTCCACCAGGGGAAGATGAAAATGGACAAGCAGGATCGTTGGCTGAGTTCTATGAGGCTCAGGCACGCTGGGGAAGGGATATATCTACTGAAGAACGTGAGCAGATGGTGAAAGAGGCTGCTGAAGCCAAGAATGTTAAGCTTGTCAGAAAAATTGAACGTAAACTAGCTGTTGTAAGTATCTACTTATTTTATGAAGATTATATGCTTGAGAAAGCAGTTGTGCTTTATTGAGAGTACCGTGTTGGAATAAATCAGAAATAGTTTGCTTTCAAAGGGTCTTTATATTGTTGTAGTGTCATGAGAACTGTTGAGAGGTCATAATATTCTTTGGCTCTCATTTTGGTACAAGATCTTAAGTTGTTAAGAGTTATATGTTATATTGATCTGAACAGTGAAAATTGAGGTTTCCAAATACTGTAGGATACTATGCTTTAGGGGCTATTTTGTATTAGCTAAAACTTTGAAATTAGTAGGACTTTTCAATAGTTTGGTGCAGAAAAATCATCTTTAACAACCCCTGTGATTCATTCTATGAATTTAGGCTTGTTATCAAGGGCTTTTTGAATCTTAGAAATGTGGTATCTCCATTTTGTGCATAAAGCCTTAGAAAACTCAACATCTGATACAACTCTAAATGTGCATGAACAGGCCCAGGCCAAAAGGCTTAGAGCAGAAAATCTATTAGCTAAATTACAAGCATCCATGGTTCCAACTGGTCCTGATTATGACCAGGAAACAATCACAGATGAAGAACGTGCTAGGCTCCATGCGGTTGCTTTGGGAATGAAGGCTTACTTGCTACTTGGTGAGTAGTTGTCAGCTGTATGAAATTGCTATATTGCAATGATGCAAAACTAACATCTGTTTATGATATTCTGCAGGTATACGTGGTGTTTTTGGTGGTGTCATTGAGAATATGCATTTACATTGGAGACATCGAGAACTTGTTAAATTAATAACAAAACAAAAGAATCTTGCTTTTGTTGAAGACACAGCTAGGTTTCTGGAATTTGAGAGTGGTGGAATACTAGTGGCAATAGATAGAATTCCGAAAGGATTTTCTCTTATTTACTATCGTGGAAAGAATTATAGGCGGCCGATTACTCTGAGGCCTAGAAACCTTCTAACGAAGGCAAAGGCATTGAAACGTTCAATAGCCATGCAACAGCATGAGGTTCCAACTTTTTATATGACAATTTCAAATATATTTTTCTCTATTTGTATCTGTGATGTCTTATTTGATATGAGTTGTGCAGGCTCTGAGTCAGCATATAACTGAATTGGTGGAAAAAATAGAAGAAATGAAAAAAGAACTTGTAAGTTTTGACTATCATAATTCATTTAGTTGTATTTACCTAACATGAATTGGTTGCATACCTAGTAAATTGTTACTTCCTAATCATCCTTTGAATGGAAGCTCCCACACCATGTAACTTGGGTTTTGCAATTTTTTTTTCTGGATTAGAGAATCTTGAATCAATCTTAGCAATTGAAACCTTTCTGCCTTCTATGCTGAGACTGACTGACAGAGATTATGTTAAGTGTTATTTTCTTGAGCTTGGGGATTTTTTTAAATACCGACATCTGATTTTACTGTCAGCAAAGCTCTAACCCTAGAGTTGTGGGAATAGTTTAGAATCTTTTTCCAAAACTGACAGGTTTTCGTCCACATGATTTTTTATTTTTAAATTAAAATCACTGTTGAACCCAATATATTATAGCCACACGTCTATGATTTAACATTTCAATTTTGCATGTGATATGCCTGGTCTCATTGTTAAAATTTTCTTTATTTTTTAGGGTAAATTTATTGATGCCAAATCATCCATGCATGCATTGACATACCATGTCATTCTTTTAGGCTTTAAGAGCTGTTAAAATATCATCTGTTACCGGGTCTTGTATAGTTGTTCAACGTAAGTGGGGCCGGTCATTTGCTGAAATAATCAAATAGCTCCAAAATTTGTTTTGGAATGATTTATATCTTAATTTATTTTATGCTCAGTCCTCACCTCCTCTTTCTCCAATTGTTAGCATTCAAATCTTCCTAGAATTTCAGTGTGCTCATGTAAGTGTGATGGTTATATCTACTCTTGACTATATCAACTAGTCTTAACGTAGTCTCTTCAAATTATCCATAGGGTTTGTCTCAAGATTTGGAGCCTCAAGATAGGTGGAGCATAGAGGACCGCAATCAAACTGACCATCTATCAGAATTCACCCAAGTAAGATACGCCTCATGTCTCCTTGTTCTATTTTCATTTTAATCCTTGGTAAGTTTCATTTTAATATCAAATACCTGCATATATTATTTCCTCGTAGTTGTTCGTCAGTTTCTTATAGAAGTTTTGGGTACCAGCTTTGGGATCTTAAATGGAAATGCCTGTGTTAATTATCTGCTGGTTGTTTATTTTGCAGAGTGAGGATGAAGACTCTGATGGCGAAGAAAACAGTGATTGGGATGATGACGATTCCAAATTTTCAAACTTAAAATGATGGGTTTCATGTGAAGGCAGGTTGACATATTTGAATTGAAGTTCCTGAATGACGTCTGCCATTGCCTGAAGCCAGCTAGGTATTAACTTTGCTATGGGATCATTTCTTCGTAAGTTCATAACTAACTAACTATGATTTTCATATACTGCATTTCTCAAAAGATTGATCTCATTTCTTTGGCCATACATCAGCTGTGATTCTTCTGCAGTTAATAAAATAGTTGATATAACAGGCTAGTTGCCGTATTGACTATTTTTTCAACATGTTTCGGGGATCAATTTTGGTCCTGAATTCACAACTTAATAAATTTTCTGGATCATATTTATTGTTAATTTTTATTTATGGCATTAAATGAAGTTTAAGTCTGATTGTGTTCTGTTTATTCGTAATTTTCCCTTCATGTAGGGTAATCAAGAGGCAGGTTTACAGCAGTTTGAATGGTTCTTCTTCTGCTTGCACATTCTTAGAGCTGAAAAATATACAGTCCGATTTAGCCAAAGTTCTGGAAAGATGTGCCTACAAAATCCATCACCAAATCAATGCCAGTTGAACTCTCACCGCCTTTCTGAGATAGTATATTTTCAGATATTGGTTAAATTTTGAGCATAAGGGACAAGCAATCTGCTTTCTTGTATATGTTATCCTGATATAATGCCTTTCCGAGATTTTTTGTTCTCTTATTCAATGGAATGGTATACCCAAAAATAAATAATATAATGCCTTTCCGAGATTTTTTGTTCTCTTATTCAATGGAATGGTATACCCAAAAATAAATATAAGGATGTAATTGGATATAAACAATTTTGGCTACGTCATCTGCATCAAACTCAATCAGCTGTCTTATTCATATAGCATTCGCACCCCATACTTTTGCAGTTTGAACGCCGCTTTCACTTCGGACTTCGTTACCATTTATTTTTTTTTGTCTACCGTTAACATTTTAATGGCATGTTATGATTATTATACAAAATAATTGATATAAATATGTAAGTGAAATTTGTAATTAACGATAATATATTGAATGTGAAAGAGGGTACAGCGTTTTGCAAACAGCATCCACCCAGCCCTCGATTCCAAGTAACCACCAGGTTCATTAATTCTTTTCGATAGGGGGTATGTAAAGCAGGCAAGTTGAAAGGCCTGTGATTTAAATGGTGCCAAATTCCAGAATAAATGATATTGTGGTCTATAATTTGTTACACATGAATTTTGCATCAGCTTCTACAACAAAACTTCATCGCAGTCAACCTGGTTGAACTAATCTCTGCCGAATTGGAAGGATTAAGATTGCCTGACTTTCATAGCGTGTTTATACGTATAGCATCATTGACGCAACATCTGTTGCAGCTGCAGCACTTGATTTCTTTGCTCTGGAGGCAGGAGATTTATCTGCTCCGGTGTGAGACTCATGACCTGCTGAAGCAATGCCTTCTCCATCTCTGGTGTCAACTGCATGTACGCAAGAATAGAATATCAATAGACTGCAGAATACAAACTAAATGCTAATTCACATTAATTACCGCAGGAGGCCGAAGAGGTTGATTGGCAGCGCCTACAGATGATGGTCCTGGAGGACCAGAAAGCTGGGTTAGGTTCTCTGAGGGACCAGACATCCAAGAAGACCCTCTATCAACTTGCATTGCATTTCCGGCTTGATTGCCAAAATCAGGCCCGATAGCCATATTCCCAACCTGACAAACATACATCACTTTGCACGTGAATAACCAATTACTATAAAGCACAGAATATTGCGCACGCGTTATCATGATTGATACTGTTCTCCAAGTCGTTTATTTAGATTTACTTTCTTCTAGTCAAATCACCAAAATCAACTTGGATTTAGGTCAAATGCGTATGCTGGTCAATTAAACAAAACTGGCTAAGTACCTCAATTATCAAATTCAAATGGAGCAACCATAAATTTGTCAGGAATAAATTTTGTTAGTTATGTGCACAAACAAAAAGAAGGTGAATCTGCAGTAGTGGTAAAAATGTTTCTTTTTAACTGAAAGATCACAGGTTCCACCCTCACTAGTCAAGGTTTAATGGGGAGTGTTTATGTGCACAAACAAGATTCTTATAAGTGGTGGGGGGAAAAAAGAAAAACAAAAAGAAATCTGAAAAATTTATAAAACGTTACCCTGAAGTGTAGAGAAACCTGATAACTCCAATTTTTTTTAACAATAGATTTATATTTTAAATTATCCGAGAAAACTAAGATAGAAAATATGAGCCTGTTTGATTTAAGAAAATGTTTTTCATTTCTATTTTTTGTTTTCACCAATAATTACAAAAATGCCACATTGTTTTCACTTTGTTTCTTGTTTTTAAAGATATTTTTTTCACCATTTCTTGTACAAATCTTTGAAACAGGAAACAAAGTGAAAACAAGTGGTATTTTTGTAATTATCATTGAAAACAAAAAATAGAAAACAGCACATTTCCTTAAACTAAACAGGCCCTAACTTTTTTCTGCTCTTTACCGTTAATAATTGTTTCAAGTATCGTCCAAAATATACTTTCCCTATAAAACAATGGTAAAAGCCTACATCCTAAACAGAAGACTTGACTTTACTGCAGATGTTAGGATTTAACTAGAATAAGGAGTCATAAATTCATAATGGTAACAAGAAAGTCTTATAATGCCAATAATGCAGGTGCTATAGAGCCTAATTATTCCTATCAGAATTCATGGTACCAGCACAGTCTCAGGTCAGGTGTAGCTTGGCATACCTGATAAGTAGACTGAGATGATTGTTGACTTGGAAGTGGTGTCTGTCCCTGTGGGAATGGGGATCCAACACTTGGAGGTTTTGTACCTGACTGAAAATTCCATCAATAACAAAATATTTTTACAATTCAACCTGCCACTAGATCATGAATTGTAAATTAACATATTAAGCTTACATGAAACATGGATTGTGGAAGATTGTGAGAAGCACCAGCATGTTGAAAACCTAAATTGGCACCCATTTGTGGGGGATACTGGGGATGGAAGTTTGGCACTGAAGGTGGTCTGAGCTGTGGTGGTAGTGGTGGTTGCAGAGGCATATGTGGAAATCCAGGTGCCTGCAATGGTTGCTGCAACTGACTGGAAGCAGTTGGCATTTGAGTTGGATGAAGTGACTGTGAAGATGAATGGAGAGAAGGTGGAGGTACGTTTGGAAGTTGTGATGACTGCGGAAGAGACACTGGAGCCATTTGTGGAGTCAAATGTCCTTTAGGCTGTTGTGGCATCTGCAAGGAATGTGCAGCCATGGGCTGAGATTGATGACTCATTGCAGGAACGGCAGCAGATGAAACTGGCACTGAAGGTTGGTGCTTCCTCAGAGGAATTTGGGTTTGAGATACACCAGCTTGATCCTGCGCACCAGCTTGTCCAGGCAATAATGGAGCAGGCTGAACGTTTGGTTGTGGTGTTGGCTGCACTGACTGCTGAGTGTTCTGCGACACCACTGGCTGAACTTTAGGAACCTAGAAGCAGACATTTTTCAACATTCAAATTTCTACGACCAATGGAAGGTTGTGAGAATGTCATCAAAATAAGGTAAAAAGCATACCGCTTGAGGTGATTGCACCATTCCAAGCATAATTTGTGCCTGATTAAAGAAAACAAAATGGACAAAAGTTTCAATTTTTTAAACAAATAAATAAGGGTAAGGTGCTTGAAGACCCTCAGATAAATATCGAGGTTGCTGAAAGATAAAATCAAATTAAAAGACACACACTACTATATTCATTAAATAATTCTGTACTAGTAGATTTGAAAAATCCTATTTCCAAAAATAAATAAGCATATTCTCATACACTTGCAGATATTAATGTTTAAGTAAGACAATAACTGGAATGATGCTTGGACAAACTATAGTATACATAAGCAAGACTACATACAAATATGAAATCTGATTGTTCCCTATATAATTCAAATTAGGTCCAAGAAATAGATACACATACACGAAACATCAAGGACTCCCTAAAAAAATCTCTCACGAGGTCTGCGCATAAATCAAATCTTCCTCACCTCGAAATCAAAGCCAATAGCTACACTGTTAAGGGCATCAACAAGTGAAACCTTGATAGTTTGAAATGATGCCCATTAATCACGAGTTAAGAGTAAGAACTGATTCTCTAAACCAGCTTATAAGAAAATTGAATGGAGCAGTTAGATAAGTGCGGTTATCCATACCTACTGATATTATATTTAGGGTTTTAACTTATGACAAAGCTACCAATTATGAAATTCAGCATTAGGGAAAAAATAGCTCCTCCAAATCTAATCACTAGAAAATAACTATATAATTGTAACTATCAAATAGGTTTATATGGTCATCAATGTAATTAACTGAAATTTAGAACGTGTATAAGCAAAATTCGAGGCACTGAGTTAAGCGCCGAAAAGTGGAGGAAGGAAAAAAATAAAAATAAAATAAAATTGAAAACCCTAGAAACCTGAAAAAGAGCTTTGGTTAACATCGGGTTCTGGATAAGGATCTGCCTGGCTTGCTGCTGGTTCTGTTCGATCAGATTCTGAGGGAGAAACAAACGAAATGGTTAGCAAGAGCTGCATGAACCGTGAGAAAGAGGTTGTAATGTACCTTCATCTGAGACATGATATCGTAGAGCTGACTCTTCGACATTCCGGCGATGTTCGCCGATAAACCCTCGCCGCCGATCTGTTTGCCGGCCATTGCTCGCCCAGAATGCTCCAAACTCAATTCTGCCAGATGTTAGTTATGTTGTGATGAAGATTGAAGGGGATCAATGTTTGCAAGCTTGTTTGGGCCTAGTGGGCTTCTCAATCATTTTTGGTCCGAATTCATTTGGGCTTCACTCATGAATATGGGCCTTAGTTGGTCTACCCTAAATACAAAGCTAAATAAATTCCTTCCAGCTTAACAGTTAACAATCACAGATAGTGAATGTGAATCCAATGGCGAAGCCTAACTTAAATTGTTGCAACTTTTCTTTCTATTCTCTTGTACGGTATTGTTAAACTCGACCACTTATCTATTCGATCGGTTGGTACTGAATTATTGGCTTAATTACTTGAATTAAATATATATAAAAGAATGTAATCAATATAATAATTAAAATATTATCATTGAAATATAGTTGTGCCTTAATAATTAATGTTGCGTGTACTTTTTTCTTAAGAAAAAGGCTTGAACACAATGAAAAGAATTGTCAAAAAAAAATATTAGACAAAGTTCAAAGACCCGATTGAACTCAAAGTATCAGTGCAGGTTCAATATCTGTTCTAATAAAAATTTGTTAATCAGTTTTACAAATAAAAAAATAAAAAATAAACTGTTAATCATTTATGGGAAAATGATCAGTGTTTTTAGCAATTGATTTTTTTTCGCATGCAGTGTATTTTTTTTTCGTAAGCAATTGATCAAATAATGCCCAAATTATTGTGGATATTGCACAAATCTCATAGAGGCTCTAATATTATAATAAATAATTATCTTACCCAACCACTCAAACTATTAAGTGATGGATCTTCAATTATTTTACATTATATCTCTTTAACAGTTGTGATATTAAACTATTAAGAGTCTTGTCTTGCCAGGAATTTAAACTTTGGTTCTCTCCGATAAAGTCCACCTCCTTTATTACCCACTCAACCCCTTCTTTGTGAAAATCAGTTAAATATTTTTTTAGAAGAATATTGAAACCATCATTGATAATTTATTCAGGACTAAGCAGGTGTGACGTCAAAAATATGTGGTGTGTGCATAATAATAGTTAATAATGGAGAAAAATATGTACATAGAAAAAGCTATTAGCTAATAGGATTAATTTGGCAGTGAAGGATCTGAATAGTCTGTATCAATGCCATCATTTGTATTAGGGTTTTATAATTCTTTACACACTCTTCGATTTTCGTGCTGACATAGGTCTTATATATAATTTTTTCTAACACTTGGGTTCCACATGTTTTTTATCTCTACAACATGAGAATTGAATTCTCATTTAACATGAGAAAATCAAATCCCTTTTATTAAAAAAAATGTAGATAAAGGCTTGACTCATTATTTTTAAATGAGATTACATGGAAGTGTAAAATTCTAGTAGAAGGACAAATTATTAAGGGCTAAGATGATAGACCTAATCTCCTTACACATGTGTTGTTAACTTAATGATCCTAATCTGTTTGCTAAGTGGTTGTTAATAGATGATAGGGGATCCATGGATTGGTCCAGAAGAGTTTTCTTTTCTTTTCAAGTAATCTTAATATTGCTCAACATATATCAGACGTGCATATCCACGTTGCATGGTGAAGAAAAATACAAACAGAAAGAGTTCACACATATACAGATGCAACTGAACCCTTGAATTTATTGAAGGGTACAGACAACAATTTTTATTTTCTTGACATTTTTCATCCAAGTTAATACTCTTACCTGACACCTAGGACTAGACTGACTGAGGAGATTTTCCACATTAAGATTGATGAGGAAAGACTTTGACAATGACTCACAAGTTCACTATTTTGAACCCTTCCCTGATTACAACAATTCATGAGCAATGTTTACAATATCAACGGTTGAGTTCAGTTTTATAATAACATTTAAGAAATTAATGCCAATCTACTTGGAAAAGGAACCATTTTATCTATATAATATTTGGAGAGATTGGACATTAGTTCACAAGGTTTACATGATGTTAGCTATTCGCTTTACACAGCTTCACCAAATGGAGTCCATATTGAATGGTTGCTCCTCCTGCTGCTGCTGCTGGGGCATACTTTCTAAAACTTTTGAAGAAGAAGCATTGAGATTGGAGGTCAAGTCAGTTCCAAGGTAAGAAAATCCTTGAGGAATGTATGTTGCTAAATGATCAGTAGCTGCAGCTTCTCTTTGTTGATAAGTGCTCCTAAGCTGTAATGCCTTGAGAAGCAAAGAATTCACAGAAAGATTTGGATTCAGCAACCCAGAAGGCCATGGGAGAGATGGAAGAGAGGGAACCTCACTTATAGCTGGCCAATTCATGGTCAAGTTCATATTTGTGTTAACATTACTGGGACCAACACCATTGTAAGTTTGTCCTGATGAGATGCTAGTGAAGCCATTTGATGAATTTGTGATACTATTTAGATTTGGCAGCTCAAGATCCCCAAAGTCATTGACCATTGAGGTTGTATTACAAGGGGACTCTTGAGATTGTTGGGAGGATGATGTGTGTTGTGGTTTTTTCGGTGCTGAGCTCTTTTGAAAGACCCTGCAAACCACCCATTCATCCTGGAAAAACAAAGCATACCAAAAGTTATTTCTCAACTATGAAGCATAAACATGGACATATATATATGGGACACACAAGACAACAATTTATTAAATTTGAACCAAAGGGATTAATGGATTAGTGATTCGACACGTGATCACTGGTTCAACTGAATTTATATTAAATTATGTAATAAATATATTTCAACGAACAAATGTATGAGTTTAGTGGCGATTCATAAACCGGTTCAAGTGAAAACACTGATACCAATTAATAATGGCTGGAGCATCGTTTATGACCTGTTCACTGGTTTCGTACTGGTTCAACTGCATAACCTAATTCACTGCCTTGACTAGATTTTGGATCAGCTGGTTGGACCGACCAATCTAGATTGGTTTTAATAATTGTGGAAGATGACTCAATATATTTGTGTGTGTATCCTTGATTATTAATTAATTAAAGTTTCGAAATATTACACATATGAATATTTAAGTACTCTGTTATGTTTTTTTTTTGAAAATATTCTAATCGGTTCATTGTTTCGCAACTAATCCGATTCGGACCGAGTATAAGATTAAGACTTTAAATCTTTCCCAAATGTGGTACTGGAGAGATTCGAACACATGCTCTCACTCCCACCTACTTAGCTCCCGTGCGCCAACTGAGCTATCCCTTTGGTACTACTATATTACATTATATAATATAATATATGCATGTGTTATGAGAAAATCTAGTAATTAATAAGAACATTATATTTGTGGTTGCATGCATTTACTAACCTTTGAAGATCTAAATGGATGCTTGTTTTGTAGCCTATATTCGTGCATAACCCAGTTACTTTTCTCACCCCTCGGCGCTCTGCCCATGTAAAAGACTAAAGTTTTTTTCATTCCAATCAAAACTCCAGCACCAAAAATTTCTTTGTCTTTTCCTGTGGTTTTCCAATAGCCTGATTCGGTGGCTCGGTTGGTTCGAAGCCCAGTTGGATACTTTCGATCTTTCAAGCTGTAGAAATACCATTCCTTCTCGCCCATGGAAGCCTTACCTATTTCCACACGCACATTCAACATCAATAATCCTAATTTAATTAGTTCATTTAATTTTTTAGTTACCAAAAAATAATACCGTATGCTAAATTCGTTAGTGTCTATATATGAAATTATATTCAATTATATGCATGGATTCTAATCAAGGTATGTGAAGAAGTTCAGTTTGCGTGAACTATATACATATTAAATTTCTGAATTCTGGTAATAAAGCATGCGGTACAGCATATAAGTGGTCAAACTATATATAAATGTACAGTATGAAGATGAAGCAGAAACTAAGACTTGTCAAATTTGCTTGACTGATAACCTAAAAGTGATAAATGATGAAGTGAAGTCTAAATAATCATATATTAATTATGTTTAATTTGCGTGATTAATGTTTCTCATGTTTTATGAGATAATTTTAACTCCTACACATAGAAAAGAGCCCATGTGAAGCCATACAAAGAAAAGATAGAGAAAAAAAAATATCAACCACACATTTATTTATGTAGGAAATAATTTTATCTCACATAACATATATGAAACATTAATTCCTTTATTTACAGCATCTTATAAAACAGTGAAATTTCAGCCTAATGTAATTGTTTAATTTTATGTTTCTTTTGGCTTCAATTTATAGAACCTTGCTTTAGAAACGCATTCAATAAGTTGCAGTCCTTCAAAAATAATCAACCTCTGAAAGTTTTCTTAAAGAACATAAACCCTTGCAAATTAATAATTAATAAAAAAAAGGGTTAATTTTTTTGAAGAAAAGGAAAAGGAATATAGATGAGAGGCATAAGAACTCTAAAACTACCTGGGAGGTCCCAAGGTTCAGACTTATTGAGATCAACAACTGCTACAGCTTTGGAAGTGAAGCTGGTATCAGACACTTTCCTTAATAAATAATATGTGATGAGCTCTTCGTCTGTAGGATGGAACCTGAACCCTGGAGGTAGGTTTTCTGCCATTCCTGTGGACCCAATATTTAACCTGCTTTTGATCCCTTGAATAATAAGATTACCAAAAAGTGAAGAGGGGCATGCACCACAAATAGTGAATACTCAAAAGCTTGCTCAATTTACATCAACAGGACGAGGTCTTGTAAGGCCTATCCTATTTATGGTTTTATAACTCACCCTTCAACAAGATGCATCCATAGAATAAGTCTTTATATTTTTAATAAATGCATACAGCTAACTCTTTGACAAATATGACATCCTCCACGAAACATGTAGATTTTCTTTGCGTATGTATTTTAAATAACTAACAAGCTTTCAGTTTATGTAGCGGTGGATTTCCAAAATTGTCACTTTATTTTACGTATATTTACTTAACCAAACCAAGAATACATATGAGGATCGATTATACTCTACGAAATGTTGTGTGTCAAGTGTCGTAATCAATATATAAGGATGTGAAAATATGAATATATGTCAAATTTATTAGGAAGGCTAGTTGCAATTATTTTGTGCACGAGGGGGTTGAGTCTCTGTTACACTTTAATAATTGGGATAGATTTTATGTGTATTCTATGGTCTTGTCCAACCACCTTCACCCATTTCTACCCACCAAAACCTTTGCCAACCTCACGCTATAGTCCGAAGAGAACAGTACTTAATTGAAACCGTATTCTCTTTCATTAATATATATAATTATTGACTTGCCAACACCCACCGTCATCTCCCTCGCTCTTTCTCTCACAAATTGTAAGAAAAATACTTTATAATATCTATGATCTTCAATTTAACAGCATGTGCTTAAGGAAAGTTCAATGTATAATATACACGTGGTCGTCCATGGATTAATACACTCAATATCAAAATGATGTATGGTAGTGCATGATACAGTTATTTTCATTAAAAAAGACATAAATATTGGAAAATCATAGCAAAAGAATAAGTAAAATGTTGACGGTGGAAAATTTTCAATTACTGTTTATATATAACACTTAACAATTTTTTGTTTTTTTTGGTGAATGTGTACGTCGACTAATATTACTATGAGTGGTTAAAATGGTAACCAACCCACAAGACTGTCCATATCTAAGCTAAGAATTTGTGTTGGACCTTTTCCATCACATGTCATGGGTTAATTAATCTTCAAAGCATCCCAAATTTCAATCCTACCAAGAACTTTGTGAATCTCCCATATCTGCTTGTTTTCTGAACATTAAGATTTCTAGATTCTAGAAGCACACCATCAAGTACATGTATCTCTGGCCTGATGGCGTTTTTCTCTTTCTCTTTCACTGTCTCTTTTTTTCTCCCGGCTTATCTGAGCTAACTTCATTAATAATAGCTTTTTTTTTAACAGAGGAAAGGGAGACCCCAATTCCGGGTAACCGCTATAGGCCAATAGATTAATTATAATAGCCTTTTTTTTATTTGACAATAGGGAAACCGACTTATACTACAAAAGTCTTGTTAATTTCGCACATGTTTTCTAAAACAAAACTAATATGCACTTCTCCCATTTGTTCTTTGTGTCTTTTCAATTTTTTATTTTTTTTAGTTTTATGATCCTAATTATCCCTATTCTCAACATATATCTGAGTAGGAAAAGGGACTCGTACAATTATAAAACTAATCCCGAATTAAACAGCGTGATAATTGTCCAGTTCAGAATTCAATCCCTTACTCTTTTAACAATTTGTATGTTTTATAGCTCGTATTCTCACTTGAGCCAATCCTAGATATTTTGTTTTTTTATTTTTCTCTCTTACTCGATAAGGGATTGTGTATATAACCTATATACATGAAGAAGGTATCGTTCTTTTTTCTTTTGTTTTAGGAAATGAGAAAAAAAAACTTGTAACAACGACTTTGAGTGGTATCACTATCACCACTAGAATTCTCTGTGAGGACCACAAACATTGCGACAAAAATTACCTTTAGACTTTAGTTCTTTCCAATCAGTTGATTTTTAAATTTTTTTAATCTCAGTCTGACCCTACCGTGTCATTATGTAAACATTCCTACACTAGCACTCACCTTGGGTAAAAAATTAAATAGAGAAAATATTTTTAATATATATGTATATAGGGGTTTACATTTCTGCAGCTGCGATACCGCGTGCAGCAATCAAATACTTCTCATATATATACTTGAAAGGATTAAATGCAAGGAATTATAACCATACAAATGATGAAAGCATTAACGGTAGGGAATCATAACCATACATCTGTCATTGTGTACATAAAGCGGCTGCAGAAATGATTTTACCATATATATATATATAGAGGCTTTAATGTTTCTAAAGTGAATGTAGATAAGTTATCTACATTCACTCTCAAAGCGACGTCGTTTTGGATTGAAAAATTAAAAAATTATAATGAAAAATACTATTATAACCCTGAAATAAATTATAATACAAAAATACCTTGATTTCAGCCTCAAAACGATGTCGTTTTAGGCTCAATGTAGATAAGTTATCTACATTGACTGTAGAAAAAACGAACTTATATATATATATATATATATATATATATATATATATATATATATATATAGGGTTATATTTATAAATTTTTTGTTTATAAATTATACTATGTATACCCGGAAGTACATTAGGTTACACTTTGTACTTTCGCGAGTACATAGTTTAATTTACAAAAAATTGTAAAAAAAAGTTTGTAAATAAATCATTCTCCATATATATATATATATATATATATATATATATATATATATATATATATATATCGTATTATGTAAAAATAAAATTTATGACTGAAATAGTCAACAAATATTACTGATAACTTCACCAAATACTAAGCAAAATGCAACCTGACCGATCCTTAAATTAAGTCTTGAACCTACAACTATTGGAAAAGAAAAAATACACATTATATGAGATAGATACGGTGTATTGTATAATGGTCTTGTTGGGTCTATTTATAGAGATAATGGCAGACCTTAACATTATGTAACCAAGGGCCCAAGATAGACCTTAATTTTAGATGCTACACGTAATTTCCGCCGGAAGACCTAACTTCTGTCAAAATAATATGCCTCAGTTGTCCAGTATATACCCCTCGGCTAGAAGCTTGCCACGATCCTGTGCCCTTTCGCATCATGTCTTTTCGCATCGGTGATTACTTTTCGACCTCATCAGCCTTTAAGATGTTAGATGCCCACCAGCTTTCACCTGGTTCTCGAACCACAACGTACTGGAAGAGAGGCTCTACTCTGATACCATCTGTGACGCTCGACCGCTTCAAGAATCAATGATTATCCCCATATACTAACACGAAACTTTTCAGTGTGCTTTTTCCTCACTCGCACACTTCCTGAAAAAACTTCCCTAGAGGTCACTCATCCCAGAATTACTACTAAGTCAAGCACGCTTAAATATGGAGTTCTTCTTTTTTGGCTACCGAAAAGTAGATGCATCTTGTTATTATAGGTAGTACCAATTAATTCTCATAAGCTATCCTTTCTTATAAGCTATCCCCAAATTGTGCAATCTCATATCTGTACAGTCTTTGAAATTTCTTTTTTTTTCGGATATCGATTCAATTTATTTATGTAACCTTCCACTGAAAATTTGCAAGAGCCACTCCTTATCTATGTCCTTTCGCATCACTTCCCACCCTCATCAGCCTTTGGCATGTTATGTCCACTGTCCAGTACCGAACTCAGTAACTAAATTGTGGAGCTTTAAGCCTTTAATAATTTGGATTCAGTTGGCTTTGCTAGGATAATTCGAACAATTTAAAATTATTAAATTATTACATACTTGTAACCGTCAATTATCCATTTAAAGCACTAGCATTGGTTTAGTGACGAAGGATTTGGGTAGTTTGTGTTAATTATGTATTCAATTTTTACTATATAAAAAAAAAATCAATTATGCCAACAAAGGTGGACACAGTTGGCTAAGTGTTTGGTCCATATCCCTCAAGGACGTGGGTTCAAATCCCGCTGGCCGATGTGAGGACTTTGTTGGTGAATGATCCCTCCCAGAAATACCAGTGTCTAATCCCACTTTAACTTTCTTGTATTAAAAAAAAAAAAAAATCAATTATCGATTTAGATGATAAGGAATTTATTCTCTTGATTAGAGATAAGTGCTCAAATTCAGAATAGTTAAGTTTCCAATAAACTGTTAAAAAAAACTTATATCTTCTTCTTTTTTTAAATTATCAGTAGCCTTTGAAATATGCTAATAATTTTTTTTTTTTTGATAACAATATGCTAATAATTTAACTTCTAAAAATAATTACGAAAAAATTATGAATACAAAATATATTGAATTATAAAACGAAGAAGGTGTAATTTCCGAAAAAAAGAAAACGAAGAAGGTGTGTAGATAACAACGATCATAATCTAAACCCCCAATTCCTGATCAACTAGTTTAATGGTCCATTTTTAGAGAACTGAATTTATTCCTCCCTCGTGAGTGAGATTGATTGAATTTGAACACCATGGTGACCCTTGAGAGATTTGGTCAAATACCTAATTAATCCCTTTTTTTCATTTGAATGACATCAGGTAGTGCAGATCAACAAATAAGTTGGCTAAACTCTAAACTCTAGTAATAATAATAATAATAATATAAAATCACTTATTCTTTGTGACAACATCTGTGCTACAATCTGCAATCTTAGTAACCACGTTAAAGGCAAGGATCAATAAAGAGGATTGCCACAAGAATTCGCGATTGACAAAGCAACAATATCTTTTTAAAATGGCTCTTTATTCCATCAGTAGGTAAAGAATATACATTCAACTCAGAGCTGATCATCAGAAGCAAAACCTTATTTTGGATGCAAGCTGAGTGATTAAAATTATCTTTTTCAATTAAAAAAATTGTAAAAATTCAACTTCTTCTCGAAGAATGTCATGTGATTCTTTTATAAAAGTGAAGTTTATGTTTGTCTACCTATGCGTGTGGCTTGGTTTTGGTCTCTTCTTTTTTGCTTTTTGTTCACATAGAAAAAAAGGACCTGTTATCATATCCAATAATATAGAATAGAATATGACAAAGAATTTATTCTATATAATAATAAATAATAAATAGAATATATATATATATATATTCTATAATAAATAGAATTTATTCTATATTATATGTATATTATATATACATATAATATAGTAATGATAATAAAGAATAAAAAATTAAAAATTATATAGGTATACACATATATGAGTGTATTAAATAGAATTTAATATTAAATATAATCTAAATGTAAAAAAAAAAATTATAATTAATATTAAAAATAGAAAGTTGAATAACGAAAAAATATATATTAATAAAATTCACAATATAGTTAAATAGAATAATATTAATAATAATACAATTAAATGGTTAAATACAAATAGTACTCTATAAAAATAACAATAATTTTCTATTATAACTAGGATTTTATGCGTTAAATACACATTGCAAAGCAAGACTTAAGTACTTTATTCATGAAAAGTATAATAGAAATTATTCCTTTATTTTCTTCTCTTTTCAGATAAAAAAAATACGGTCCTGACCAATTGCATACACATTGTAAAAAATATAGCTTTCACCGGTAACTATATGTTATTTGAGAAGAGATATTTTTACTACTAAAATTTTTCACTTTTAATTTACTATTTATTTAATCACCATTGGATCAATATTTTCTCTCTCTTCAAATTTTTTTTAGCATTTCTCTCTTTGATCCAATGATGATTAGATTGGTAGTAAGTTGGTAGTTGAAAATTTTGGTAGTAAGAATATCCTCTCTCATATTATTTACAAATTATATTTACAAATTTTTTGTTTACAAATTCCTACAAACTATAATATGTATTATGGGTATCAAGTAGTATAGTACTATGGGTAGTACATATTACTTGATACCCATAGTACATATTACTTGATACCCATAGTACATATTATAGTTTGTAAATATAACATGGAATAGGATATTGTGACACCTAAGTTATGTTACACCCATGTGACACCCAGTCAATCTCACCGTTAGATCGTTTATGTTGATCCAACGGTTATATTTATTTCCATCTTTGTATGGTCATGATTTCCCAAATTTAATATTTTATATTTATTTCTACCTTTGTATGGTTATGATTTCCCATATTTAATGCTTTCACTTTAAATTTGGAAAATCATGACCATACAAAGATGGAAATAAATATAACCGTTGGATCAACATAAGCGATCTAACGGTGAGATTGACTTGGTGTCACATTGGTGTAACATAACTTGGGTGTCACAATATCTTATCCCATATAACATACCTCTTATATACACGGGGGCAAGATATACTTACCATTATAAAAGTTTACCACCCTTACAACTAGGGGTGCTAAACGAATAGGAACCTTTCAGGGACCTTAGGCTCGGCTCGTGAAAGCTTGAGCTTTCATGTCAAAATTTGGTTGTTGAAATCAGGTTTGAACTTGTATAAAGACTCGTTTAATAAAAAAGTATCAGGCTCTAATTCAAAAGCTCGATCTCAAAGCCTTTCAGGCTGGCCTAGTATACTAACTTTTTATTTTATTTTATATTTTTATACTATTCATAATAACTCTTTCTCTCTCCTCAACCCATTTCACCTTATCTTATTGGTTAAACAATTTTTTTTGAATGTTTTTGTTCTATATTATGCTTTTTGGATATACATTGAATTTTATGAATCTTTGTGAAGTTATTAGTGTTGTTGATCATATATTTTGTTTGAATAAATTTTTGTTGTCTTATTTTTTTTAAACAAGCTAAATCAGGCTTTTATTTTTTATAAATAAGACAGGCCACAGGCTGATAATTATATTCATAACAGGTAACATGCTAGGTCAGGCTGACACGTTTAAACATAGGCTTAGCCTTTTAAGACCAAAGCCCGGTTCGGCTCGGCCCGTTACACCCCTACTTACAACTAACCTAATTACCGTTGATTTTCGTCAATCTAATGGTTATAATTATTGAAATTAATAATTAATTAATAAAAGCGACCAATAAATTATAATCATTAGATTGATAGAAATCAATGGTGATTAGGTTGGTTGTAAGGGTGATAAACTTTTGTGATGGTAATTATATTCTTCCCTTATATGTATATATATATATATATATATATATATATATATATATATATATATGAAAAAATATTTATCCTTTTAAAGTATCTTGTATGTGTGTGTGGTTTTATTTAAGGGTTTTATAATTCTCATGTTGAAGGAGAATTGAAATCTCATGTTGTAGAGATAAAAAGCATGTGAGACCCATGTGTTAGAAAAAATTATATGTAGGACCCATGTCAGCACGGAAATCGAAGGGTGTGTAGGAAAATTGTAATTCTCATGTTAAATGAGAATTATAAAACCCTTTATTAAAAGGACGAAAATCAACGGTTAAGATCTAAAATGACACAAAGTTATATCATTTAAAAGGACAAACGTTTTTCCCATATATATATATATATATATATATATATATGTATGTGTGTGGCTTTATTAATCTTGTACCACATAAGATAATATTTTTCTCCTATTGACTTAAAAAAATTGTGGGCTCCATTTTATTTTATATTTATATTTACTTTTTTAGTGGGACCCACTACATGTTTGTCTCTGTGGCCGGAGATATCTTCTCTCCATAACATGAGAAAGGGAAAATTTTCTACAAACACTTCAATTTCCGTGTTGGTATGGGTCCCACACATAACTTTTTCTAACATATGTGTCTCACATACTTTTTGTTTCTATAGATAGCTCATCTCATGTAACATGAAAAGTATAAATCCCATATATACATATATGGATATGGATAGGTTATATTAAATTACACTATGTACTGTAGATAGTACATGCTTAAATAATATGTACTACTCAAAACATATATTGTAATTTGTAAAAATTTATAAACCTTGAATTTGTAATATAACCATTCTTATATATATATATATATATATATATATATATATATATATATATATATATATATATATATGGATCAAGATCATTTTATTCCAGTGTAAGCTACACTCTTAATCTTGATCATTGATTCACTTGTATCTAATGGCTCATATTACTAAAAAATTAGAGCCCGTAAATAAAAGTGGGATCAATGGTCAAGATTGAGTGTAAGACTTCCAACTCTTACACTGGTGTAAGAATATTCTGCCCCTATATATATATATATGGGTTAGGATCATTTTACACCAGTGTAAGTTACACTCTTAATCTTGTCCGTTAATCCCACTTATATCTAAGGGCTCAAATTTTTTAGTAATGTGAGCTATTGGATACAAGTGGATCAATGGTCAAGATTGAGTGTAAGACTTCTAACTCTTACACCGGTGTAAGAATATCCTGCCCCTATATATATATATATATATATATATATATATATATATATATATATGGACTTTAAGTTCTCATGTTACCGGAGACACATAGAGAAATCGTTGGGCCCATGAAATTTTTTTTTCATAAAAACTTACAAACTACATTAAGTCTGGCCAATTATACACTTTTGATTGAAGTCTGACTAGTCATACTTAGTGTAATTTGTAAGTTTGTTAATATAACCTCTCTCCCCGTATATATATAAAATGAAAATTCATTTTTTATATATGGAAATGCCATACAACTGGAAATTCATTTCTGAATCATAAAAAATGTTAAAGTAGTTATATATGGGAGTGTCCTTCGCGGATAAAAGTCATATTTGAGATTGCGGGCACCCAAATCGAAGGATCATAGATCTTATTGTAAAAGAGAAGCCACGGTTGTCCAATCTTCTAAAACTTTGGGGACTCCATGACAGTGTCCTTGGTGCTGAAGGCTTATACTTGGGGACATTAGAGATTTTGACATTTTAGACAATTGATGTTGACAGAAGAAAGATTGATATTACGAAAGCAACTGAACCCCACTTTTTTTTAGGAGTTGCTTTGCTTGGTGGTAGAGCTCACTTTGGAGCAACCACAAAGAAAATGCCATGTCCCAAAGTAGAAGCTCTTGTTAGACTCTTCTCCAATGTCTCAAGCTCTTCACAGCTTCTCTTCCTCTTCTCCTCTGTCATTTTTCTTGTCGCATTCTTAACCTTCATTGGCAGATTCCCCTTAATCCAAAGGTCTTGTGGTAGCTCTTCTGTGTTCTTTTGCCACATTTGATTGCCTCTGGCATCTAACTTACAAGTTTATCTTTGTATGTGACAGATATCAACAACATGAATATGTGTTTTCCGAGGATGAAGAAGAAGAAACTGAAGAAGGGTATTCTTGTGTTGAATCCACCGAGAGAGTGAGAGATCAAAGGACTCATTCTTATTCTGAAGAGTTCATAAGCCCTGAGGAGAGCTTGAGTGAAGAGTCAGAGGAAAACCATTCTTCTGAAACAACGTCTGATACTAACTCACCACAAGTTTCTGACTTCGAAAATGAAGAGGCAGAAGCAGTTGAAGAAGACTTTCCAACAAGAGATGCTGATTACGTTCCAAATTATATACAAGTTGAAAGCACGCACACCTCTCCCATCACCCTGAACCTTTACAAAGTTAACAAAAACCGTGACGGTATTTCACATAATAGCTGAACATATCATTCTATATAGTTAGTTAAATTATTCACATGCAACACTTATAGTAGTTCAACTGTCTTATACTAATTTCTGCAGAAGATCATGTTAGTCGTGAAATTATTAAAAGTAAGAAGGTGCAGGAGGCAAACCTCATAAGGGATGAAAGATTCTTTGTGTTTGCTTCTTCCCAGTTGCAGAATAAAAAGTTGATTGTTGAAGAGAAGGATGATGACTCTAATAGCTCCTCTGAATGGAGGGATTCTGAGAACGAAGACGCATTTTCTTCCTCATCTAGAAGGAGTTGCCCCAAGTGGGAATCATATACTTTGTTCCAAAAATATGATGAAGAAATGGAATTCTTAGACAGAATTGGTGCACAGAAACTTCATGAAAATGGTAACGACCATTTGCTAATTCCTTAGTGCATTATTATAAATATCAATTATTGTGACAGCATTTGCAATCCAATTTTCAGAGTCTTTAAGATCCATCCAAGTATCTCCGAGATCAATTTCAGAGCGTATTGTATACAGGTTTCCAACTATAAACAAAAAGCCAGCGGATTTTGGTCACAACCCATATCGTGAACTAGAGGCTGCATATGTTGCACAAATTTGCTTAACATGGGAAGCACTTAGTTGGAACTACAAAAATTTTCATTCCAAACATGCTTCACGCCAAGGTCTTGATACCGGTTGTCCTGCCACCGTTGCACAGCAATTCCAGCAATTTCGGGTTTTGTTAAAGAGATACATAGAGAATGAACCTTACGAGCATGGCAGAAGACCTGAGATCTATGCTAGAATGAGGCTTTTGGCACCAAAATTGCTCCTAGTGCCAGAATATCAAGGTATGGTTATTACTTTTGCTCCTTCTCTTGTAGCAGTAGATTTCATGTCAAAAGGTACAAAGATAATAAGGGAAAACTCAAACCCAAGTAATAATTCAACCATAAATCATGGACTTGGAGTGAATGGCATATAATTAGTATTGTTGGTAAAATAAAACAGAACAAGACATGTAAAAATAACCCTGTATTTGCACGCCATTATTTTAGTTCAAATCTTGCACTATTACAATTTCTATACTTGAGATTGATTCAATTATTGCATAGGGAACCTGGATGGTGTGCTAAAACTAGTAACATATGATGGAAAAAGATGTAACATTGAGGTGTAAAAGAATAAATTAATGTACAAATATTATTACTCACTCTAAGAATGAGTAAACAGCATTGTTTGTTATGAATAATTATTTTTCTTGTTTGTTTTAAAGAATCAGAGGAGGGTCAGAAGGATGGTGATTTTCACCGTAACATATCATCAGCTTCATTTCTTAAGATAATGGAGGATGGGATCAGAACATTCATGAATTTTCTGAAGACTGATAAAGAAAAACCATGTCAGATCCTAGCAGCCTACTTTAGGAGAAACCAAAGAGGCACGGTTGATCCAACATTACTCCAGCTAATGAAGAAAGTTAATCAAAAGGCAAGTTTCAAATTTTACATTAATTTTAATTTTAATTTAATTTCCTAACACATATTTGTGTATTCAACTCTAATTATATGCAGAAGGGAATGAAGGCTAAGGATCTCCGCTATTCAGGAAAATGCATGAGGAAGAGGAAGTTAAATGTGGAAGAAGAGATGGAGATTTTGATGGCTCTAATAGACCTGAAAGTGGTGTCAAGGGTATTAAGAATGAATGACTTAAGTGAACAACAGTTGCACTGGTGTGAAGAGAAGATGAGCAAAGTGAGTATCATGGGAGGGAAACTTCAAAGAGATTATTCCACTCCACTTTTCTTCCCCTCACATTGACCCACAAGACTCTATTATTTGGTGACTGGATGATGAATGGTAATACATGACCGCAGAAAAAGGAATGTGCACTCTTTTGTAATGTATGATTAAAGAAAATAGAGCGACCCCACAAATCAAAATAACAAACATGTGGAAGCATGGATTATATATGGAGCCTGAAATCCATGGAAAAGAGGGACAAAGATGAATGTTTTTGTTATTGATGCATTTTGAAATTGAAAGACCAGAGCCAAAGCAAGTAACATAACATGAAAAAAGAGACACGCATGAACAAGACTGCCACAGATTAAGTTGAATAAGTGGTGTTTCTTTCTCTCTCTATTATACTATCTAGTTTAATTTTTTTTTCTAATATATCATTAATATTCATTTAAAAAATATATAAAAACTATTAAGTTATAATTGCCTAAAAAGTACAAAACTCAATATTTATTTAGTTAAAAAAATAGATTTTATAAACATGTATGCCAACTACATGTATCTGTCAGGGTAAGTAATACAATAAATTGTGTTAATTTTACGTAACTTTTCTTCCAATAACGCATAATATTATCCTTTTTTTTCTTCCTTAAAATCAATGGTTTACATCTATTTCTGTGAGATTATTCGACCAAAAGTTATGTGAAAATATTATCATTCGAGGAGATTTCCTACGATTCATTATATTATTTGTAATTCTTGATTCAATTATATTTAGTAATTTATTAATTATGGTTAATAAATAATAAATATTTAATTACTCATGATAAATTTACGTGTCTTAAAAACAATAGGGTACACCAGAAGATTGTAGAGTGATAACTCTATTTTATTATATAGGAGCGAATGGGTGATGTGATTTCATTTTTTTTTTCTTTTTGAAATTTTAATTTTAAACAAAAGATGAAACATACATAATTGCATGCTACGAAGGACTAACACTTCAAAAATTCTGACGTGTCGTGTCCGACACTCCAACACGCGTTATAGAAATTCAAAAAAAGGTTCAAAAATTGCGTTGCGTTGAGTTTTTAGTTCCAACTATTAGATTCGTTGGATTACGATTACCATTTTATTGAGTTTAATATAAATATTTGGGATATCTTATGTTTCTTTACAAAATTGATGAATATTATAAGTGTAGTTTCATTGTTTTGTTAAATTATTGAATATTAAATATAATATACATTACATAAATTAAAAATATCATTTAATATCAAACGTGTCCTAACGTGTCGAAATCTAACATTTTTTAGAATTAACGTGTCGAAGTGTCATGTCGTATCGTGTCACGTGTCTCGTGTCAGTATCGGTGCTACATAGATTGCATGCAACATCTTTATTAGTCAATTATTTCAGAAAACCTATTCTTGAGGTAAAACATTATATTGCCCTTATATTCTATTTGATTTTGCTAAATTTTTATTTAAAAGATTTTCAGTATTAAAAAATATAATCATGACATTTGTCATTTGGATTATAAGGAAACCCCTTTATCGAAAATGAGACTAGTTTGAAAACCCTCAAGGCCCAAACATTCATAGGATCACAGCGTGCCCGTGGGTTGTTTTGATGGAATGAGAATCAGTCCTGTTCTTCTCCGACTTGTGAATAGCCGTTGGACCAAAAAGCATAGATTTTGGTTCTGGATTGGCTTCCAAAAAAAAATGCTTTGTATGTCTTATTTATTTTAGAAGTGTTTTTTTTATAAAAGTTATAGTTATTTAAATTTTTATGAAAATATTTGACTTTTCACTTCTAATTTTTTTAGAAGCTAAAAATTGTTAGCTTCCAAGAAAAGGAAGTTTTTTATTTTTTTTATGATTTCTGTTTTTTTTATTAAATATACTTTCTCTTAGAAGTGCTTTTTTTTTTTTATGAAAAAAAGTAACTTTTGAAGAGGAATAAAAAAAACTTATCCAAACAAGCCCTTATTATGGTTGTCTTTGGATAATGGACTCGTTGATCAATATGGTGTAGTTTTTTTAAGAAAAAAATTATTTAAATAATTTAATTTAAATATAGGTAAACAAAAAAGAGAGTATTTTTGATTTTTACATTTATTACCAGTAAATATAGTAACGTTTTAGGTATTAATATTGAAATGGAGAATAAACTAATGGCTGCTTAGAACTCAATACATACCACAACATGATACTTTAAAACGACACATATAGTATCACTACTTGTCCACTGACATTATATCAAAGGAATAGTAATAATAAATTTTGAATGATTGAGTTTTGTGTCACAATATGAATTTCCATTAATTATGTTGTCTATGGATCCGATCTGGACCTACTAAAAAATTTCCCAAACCATTAATTATGAGCAAAGTAAAATCCATGCTGATGATTTTACGAGAAAGATAATAGTTTTGATTTTGCGATGATACATTTAACTATGTGTTTGTTTTTTCTGCAGTCATTTTGGGGCGATAATTATGATATTTTTATAATTTTAATTTATTTCAGGATTATTATAGTCTTTATAATTATAATTTTTTAATATTTCAATCTCAAAACGACGTCGTTTTTGAAGTGAATGCAGATAACTTATCAGCATTAACTGCAGAAATATTTTTCTTGTTTAACTATATGCAAATTATAATAACCAATTTTTATATAAATAAAATGTGTCCAGATATCTTTGGGTATTATTATGCATGTATACTATACTTTTCTTTGTTGTCCTTGATCTTTTCTCTTTCGTGGGCATCTTTGGTTTTGTGTGGGGGTGGAGGAACATAATCACAGAGGCATCTTAAAATGAACCCACAGGAGATCCCGAAGCTGGTCCACGCTGCCCCTTGTTCCCCACGCCCATTGAATCACTGATCATGTACCTTTATTTTTAGAGGCATAAAGAAGATGCTTATAGCCTCGTCTCGACATATCAACATAGCATTGATATGGTTAAAAATTATTAAAAGAAAAAGAAAAAAATATGTTGAGATCCAACAGCATGATCCAACCAACATGTAATTATTTTTTTAAGCTGAAGAATTGTTTAAGAATTTAGATTCAATTTCCGTTGTCAATTAGTATATGTAATGTTTGTTTTATGATCGAGTGAATACAGTTATGCGGATCAGTTTTAAAATACTAGGATTGTAATTTGGCCAGTCTCTTCGTTCTCTAGAAAATAAAATTAAATAAATAATATTTCATTAATTTTAAATTATTAAACAACTGAGTCAAAACTCGAATTGCTATTATGATTGAATCACTATTTATGATAATTGCGCAAATTGAGTTGCAATGCTTTCCTCCGTGTTGCATAGTATGATTTGGTTTATAAACATGTTTCTCTGGATAAATTTACATTGTGCTCCATTGAATGGATTTCAGAACAAAAACCATATTGGCATGTCGTGGAAGATTATTCTTTGGATGAAAACCAATCAACCTTCTACGATTTTGAATTGTGTCCAATTAGAAGGTTTAATAAGGAGCGCCAATTGATGTTCTTGAAACGATGTAGGGAAAGCGGCAGCCCAATAATTTTGTACCGCGAAGGGATGATACAATATTTTCGAAAATATTCAAGTTCATTGATGGATGACATGGCTATGGAGAAACTTAAAATTTCTGCGAGGAACGGTCACAATGAAGCCAAGTATGTATATTTCGTCCTTTTGATGAATTCAACCGATCAGGAACGTCGTAATTGTGGATTTGATATGTTTTGTTCTTTGAAAGAGACCACCGAATTAAGTCTATGCAGACACTGGGTCAAGTGTTTCATCCGGTGTATGTGGCTGCGTAAGGAAAGGATACAAATCCAAGAGTTTTCTTGGTGCCGTTCTAAGAAATACACCGTTGAGAAGCTTTCACATCCACCGTCAGCAATGGACTGTAATGGAAACGAGGATGGTAGTAGGAAAACATGTGCAGGTTGTGATGCAGATGCTGAAATCAGACACTTTTCAAACATTTTAACAACAGATATTAGCCAAGAGTGTTCTGTAGTTTTTTGATATTATCCCACTGTTCATTTTCAATGCAGATTAATTTTATGAATATTTCTTTTTGTCTACTCGAACTATGTTTTGTACGTTGGCACACTAAGACACGAAACATGTTTAAAAAAAAATATTTCTGACTGTTTCAGATGATATGGATAATTACTGGTGCTATGATTAACCAACGACAGACAACAACACCTCCCGCCAACATTTTATTTTTTACAATCTAACAAAAACTTCTGGTGTTGCTGGTATTTGGATTTACTGTTGTGATAAATGAAAATAAACAAGCATATAAACTAATCTTATTAAGATTAAATATAATGTATTAAATATATGTATCATGCATATGTAGGCAATTAAACTAATAAACATTTGTTATCACATTAAATGTGGTATCTGAAATGTTTTTCAAATCGTCATCTAATATATGTCACACACACATCAAAAAAAGTGATCTGAAATGAAGTATAAGAACCCATTTTTTGTGTGTATAAATATGAAAATTTATTACACGTAAATAATTGGTTTTTGATTGTGAAAGGATTAATGGCTTGGGCGCCCTCTGATAAACATATTTTTTAGAGTATAATGCTATACAATCGATTCTCGATTTTATTTTATTTTCAACAAACTGGTCAATTTTTTTCTTCGTGCATCGCACGGGTCATATACTAGTTGTAATTTTAAATGAGGTTAGGATATATCCTAACTTTAAAATAAATAGAGTTTATATTAAATTGAACACTTAATTATGCTGCTTGCATATTGATTAATAGCTATAGTTTTTTGACCGAATAATAAATATTAATCTAACAACCTCTTCTCGCCCTAAATTTTATGTAAAATAAGTAAATAAATCTCGGTACTTGTCTTAAACTACTAAATTGGGTACGACCCTCTAAATTGAGTCAAAAGTAAAACTTGCATTTCATATTGTATTAGATTATATAATTATTTTTATATCTTCCTATTAGGGTAGATATTGTGTTTGAATTAAGGGTGAAAGTAAACTAAGATGAGTCAAATTAAGTCTAACTTAAAAACTCAA